AAAAGAGGCTTGGAAAGAATCTGGTCAGGGGATGGAGAAGTGTCTCTGCAACCGAGAAGATTAAAATAAAAAGCTTGACGCTTTCTTTTTACTGAATGTGGAGCCCGGGGTTCGTCTCCGCATGAGGGATCCTCGTGTTCTCTGTGCAAATGGATGGAAGTGGTGTCTCCACACAGCTTTCCACATGCAGGTCGCTTATACCTCTTTGTTGTTCAATGTTCCTGCCGGGCCCTTCCTGTCCACCTGACACCTTCGGGGGAGTTTCGCCTGACGCCTGATTGGCCACCTGCCTCCGCAGCTGTTTCTCGTTTCGCACATCAGCCCCGGAGTACAAAGAGAGCGAGAGTTCGCCCACGTGTCATTTGGGTTTAGGTTCCAGGTTTATTACTGTCAGCCCCAATGTTACACGAAGCAAAGTGCTCCGTAACCCCTTTGTCTGTTATCAGTTCCCAGCGGCGGCGTCTTCCCCACATTGAATCACGCGCGCAACACCACACTTGATGAGGTAACTTTAATTTGAGTGAATTCCAATAAACAAATTGCCTGAAGTGGGAGCGCTGAGCTATCAAGGATGAGACAACACGGGGATCATTGTGCTAGTTGTGCCCATGGCATTCGTTCTTGTCATTAAAAATTCTCATTGAAGTTGTATTAGCGATGTTGATTTTCTTGTGATGACTCTCTTTCCCCGCTCTGCCGTTTCAGTACGTCGGGCGTTTATCAAGGCCGCGGTCCTGGCTTCGTTACGTTGGATGGATCGTGGCTTGGACCGAGGTCTCGCCCCCCCCTGTTGTTGAGCACTGAGAAGAAGCCCATGATGTGCAGCTGTCTACCACTGGCAGACGCTTTATTTTTAGAACTCGAGGTCTCGGTCGGAATAACTCTCGAGGAGAGCGCAGTTCTGCCAGGTTTGAGTAACTCTGAAATAAAAAATGTTTCCCTTTTGAGTCCTTTTTCATTGCACCCGACACTTAAATGAAAGGGCATTTTAAAAGCTTTTTTTCACTTGATGCATTTCCAATAGAAGCTGCAGATGTCTCCAGCCATATAAAAGGGTTATTACTTCCGAATGGGCTCCTTATTTCATGTAATAATCTGCTATTTATTTCATGAGAACAACCTATTTTTTCTTCTCAAGTGCGAGTTAATCAATGCAATAGTGATCCATGGAAGGTTTTTGATGTGTACGAAGCAGATAGAGCTTTTCTGGGAGTTCTGGGTGTTGCGGTTCACATTCACATCACAGTGACGGCCATTTTATCAGCTTACTAGAAAAGGGGGATATTTACTGTTCATATTTATATGGCTACTGATTGAATGAATCAAATCAGATAAGAAAAATAAATTCACTCTTCACGTTAATCCATCATGTGAAAACAACGAAGGCTGTTGTAAGACGATGATACAGGGTGAAGGATGCCACTTGCAATCTCACGCTGCATCGCAATGCACAGAAGGCATGACATCCACCAAATGATCACCAATCGTTCAGCATGATTGTCACGACATGATGAGTCGTCCAAACGGACTGATAGCCGATTCCCCCCATACATGCTCGTAGGAAGGTGTTTGGGTGCGTGAGCGCTCGACGCAGGCCAATTGGAGACATTTTGGAGGTCCGCTATTTAATGAAATCACGCTAAAAGACGCCAGGAGAAGAACTTGCAGGTGTGTGATGTTGAAGTTTAAACTCAGCACTGCGCCTGCTGGCTGGAGGAGGGATTCTACATTACATTACAGGTCATTTAGCTGACGCTTTTATCCAAAGCGATGTACATTACATCACATCACATTTTTAACCCATGTCTTTTTTTAAATTTTGGCCCGGGAGCAATTAGGGGTTCTAACTCTAATTCTAGCTCTATAGGTTCTGTGGTTCACACCCTGCAATGGGTGCACGGCCTTCAGCCCCCCAGTCAGGCCGTCACGCTGCAGTGGGGCTATTTGATAGGAAGAATTCTGAAAGAATGAGACTGATTAAAGACGGCTTCTTAGTGTTGGTTTTGAAAAACCAAATTATTTATCTTTTTTTCTTTCTTCTTTTTAGGTTTCATGTCTCACATTGTGTCAGAATAAAAGCGCAACCCAGAAGGCAGAGTAGGGAATGATATTATAAAGTCTAAAAAGAAACCAACTCAAAATACATCCACCATCTGAATTTTTGAAAACGGTAAACTATATTTTCAATGTACTGCAACAGGGATGCAATTTCTCTGTTGATGCTCATAACATAAAAAGAGTCCACGCTTTAAATATTCAGTAGAATATCTTCCCCCTTTGCAAGTACAAAATGATTCCAGTTCCCTCTTAGACTTCCCTCTTTTATTAATGGATAACAGGCTGTAAGTGGCGTGTGGGAAGGATGCAAACAGTCTGCCGGTGTGATGTTGCATTTAACAAGGCGACGGCACACACAACACACATTTCCCTACAAAACAACCCCATTTCCAAACACAGTGCATCAGTGGCTCCTTCGGCCGAGCTGTAACATCCCTTAAGTTGAAGGATGGAGATCACACTGAGACGGGAGACCAACGAGGGGCTGAACCATCAGGTCGGAATCTTTTCCACTCATCAGCGAATCTTTGGACCAAAAGCTTTTTTACAGCCGTTTTATGTCTTGCTACTACCTCAGTATCCCCCAAAGTAATCTGATAGAAAGGATTCGCTGTTGTTCTCTGGGCTAATAGTCCGATCAGATTATTGAGGGCTGCATTTACACATGGCATTGATGGGGAATCTTTGATTTGTAATTAAAGCAGATTGTAATTATGACGTTCAGATTCAAATGTATCACATTTGTCATGAACATGAATTCTGTGAACTCTTCCCCACCAAAAACGGGCTTCAAGATTAGCAATGCTGTTCATGCCAAATTCTCACCCTTCTTATGCGGGCCTGTGTTATGCATCTTAATAATAGTCATTTCAAACAAGTGCTGCGGTCCTCAGAATGATGTCGACGGCTGGAGAACAATTCAATACAAAATAGGGTGTAGGCTCGGGAATCATGTTCTTCACTATATCGTGTTTTTACCCAAATCATGTGCAGATTTGAAGACTTTCTTGGAGCAAATGGCTCGGAAAATAGTGCATATACATCTGGGTGAAAGTAGCTCTTGCTTCACCTGCACATCACGCGATCCATTTTTTTTAAATTTGTTTTGTTAACCCTCCTGTGGAACATATGAAGGCCTGACATGCACAACACACAAACATCTTGTCTGCTGCTGGGAGGCACGAACAAACAAACAGAAGAATGTGAGTGTCAATCGCACACTGCTATAAGATATTTAGTTTAAAAACACTCCATGTTTACCTCCTTTTGAGTGTCAGTCCCTCAGCCTGAGAGAACTCAGCCTTTCACATTTCTTCCAAGTGTCCCCGTCGCCCTGATATTTTTGGGTGTGAGAAGTCAGAGTTTCTGTATGTGTTGCTCTTTCTTTTCTTTTTATTCCAGAAAGCCCCCCCCCCCCCCACCCACACACACACACACACGTACCATGTACACAGCTTAAAACAGCTCCGCCTGCAGCAATTAGCTTATGAAAAGAAAAGCAGGAACGTAAAATAGCCCCAAACACATAATCACAAGTCACATCTTGAGGAATGCAAGTCACATGACAACCTCTTACCGTTAAAGCCGCCGGTTCATGCGAGGCGTACACACAGAGGGAATCTAATCTGTTTTTTTGTTGTTGTTTTTTTAAGATTCGCGATGTAACGCGATGTAATTCGTTTCTTTTCTTTCATTGAGGGATCGATTGGGTTTGCCGCGCTTTTCGGCAGCAGATATCACGCTCTCTGAGGTGGAGGAGCGAGAGCTGCACCTCTTTTTTTCCCCGAGTTGGCTGATAATTGTCTCACCAGTAACAGCTGCAATAAGTGGCAGAACAAGCAGAGGGATACCTGTCGATAATGGTAATCTGACGGCTGCAGTGCTGTTGGGATTTTTTACACCACCTGTAATAGATTTGACGCAGATGCTGCTCTCTCGGACCAAACGGGACAAAATGCACGTGGAACTAGATTTTTATTACTTTTGCTTTCCAGCAGTGTCGGTGCCGTGTAACGTTGCAGCTACCAGACAACACTGTAAATCAAGTTTAGCCGCTTTGTGCAATAAATCCACGTCCAAAGAAGCTCTTCTACTGACGATTCTTCAAATTACTGCTCCCAAAATAAACTGCAGGAAACTAGAAACAGGAGGACGGGTTTTGAGAGGAACAAACTCATTACACAAAGCTAACGTTTAGAGAACGAACGGGAAGTTATCCAATCGGGGAGAAATTACGACTCCTGGTCATCATTATTCAAATATTTGTATTAAATAAACCTCCATTTAGATTCCCCTGCAGGATCCGACAGTCCTTTCCTGCCTGGTCCTGGATGCGGTTCTCCCGGGTCCAGCAGCATGGTCGGATGTCATCCTGGTCCAGAGGCTTTCTAGTGAGCCCCGATGAGACCTACCAACCAAACGATGCCTCGTGTCCCCAGCTGTGGTGACCCCTTGACCTGACTCAAAGCCAACTGTGTCCCTCCCGCAGGGCTCACCGTGAACCCCCCCTCCCCTCCGCTCCCTCCACCTCCCTTTTGTTACCACTTGATGTCTGATCACAGTCTTCCTTTTACCTTTTTACCTCACCGGCGCAGATTCTGTTCTGTAAATCCACCGGTGTGCCGCCATGCTGCAATTAGCATGACATCGCCGCAGCAACCGGACCTGGATGATTCATCTCAACGATCTGCATGGTTTCCTGTGATTTGACGGCACTGATGATAACAGACGGTCGCTGTTCTTCTCGCTGATACTGTTGTTTGATCGTGCGGGTTGCTTGTACACATCCGTGTTAAATTGAGACTTTCATAAACCGCTAAAAGTTCCTCATTGCAACTTTAACCTTTAAATTCCGAATCAAACATACAGGTCGTCACGTATAATAGTTAATATATGGCCACGTAGATATGTTACTTTCCCATTAATGACACAAACATCTCAGCAGCTGCTTAAAATGGTCATACTTTATTCAACAGCCTTTTAACTTGTTGGACAGAATTTAAACATCTGGATTATTTCTTCGGAAGACATTTACACATCGCTGACTTAACAAATAGACTCACATGGTGAAAGTATTAAAACATATAAAATAAATAATAAGTACAGCACTGCACTTGTTTTGCACAGCGCTCGTCCACGGATCACACATTTAACATGATACAAAACAGCTTATCTCAGGCGACGCGTAGGAGAAAAAAGGTCACGAAAAGGTCAAGAAAAGGTTGTTTCCAAAGATAGGGACATGAATGAATATTCGGTCCTCAGAACTTGCAGCAGTAGCCGCAGCCCTTGTAGGACCTGCAGCACTTGCAGCACCAGCGGCACATGGAGAGGTGGCTCTGCCGCTTCTGCCTGAAGTGATCCGGCATCTGTGAGAAAGACAAAGAGACATGAGCAAACCGTTCCTCTCCAGGGGGGGGACATCCACTTAAATGTGAATTTGCTCACGGTAATTGGCTTAATTCATTCAGTCAATTGAACATACCATCATGGATTCCGTTGACATTTCTTGATACGCCGCAACTGGAGTGTCATTGCTCGCTGCCTCCTCCTGCTCGTGCACCTGCTAATGAAATATGCACATTCGGGAGCCACATTTTAGCATCCTGAGAAAACGTTCACGGCTAATAAGCGCATGTAGTGGGTTAAAGTCAAATCCTTACCCCGGTGAATGGGACAGCAGAGCTCTGCAGAATGCAAATAAAGGCGAGCACGAGTGTCACTGCAACTGCAATGCTGAATGCCTTCATTTTCGCTGGGGGGGGGGGAGGTTTAGTTATTAAATCCTTTTGAAGATTAGAGTCGACGGGTCTTCTTTCTCATGGGTGTCGGACCACCGAGGAGCGCCGCAGTATCTTCAAAGTGTTCGTCTTCAGCTTCAGGTGGGTTCCTTGGGGTTCTTGCCGGCTCTTTTTTAAAGTCCTGCCGCTGTCTGATTGTCCACAATGCATTCTGGTATTTATACACGCTTTGCTGTTGCCTCATCGCAACAGGAGGCCCGGCCCATTCCTGGCAGCAGTTAGCTCACTGCGCTGGGGAAGTTTTGACCTCCTCCTCTCTCCCTCCACAGTGCTGCAACACTGGGGTGAGGGAAAGTGTGGGGGGGGGGGATACATTTTCCACTCAGGAATATCAAATCAACAATAAAACTATAACTATAACATCACTTTCTGCTCTTTTTGTGCTTTTTTTTTCTCGTCAAAGCAAAATGCACTTTGTATTGACGCAGAACTTGAGCTCAAAGCGAGATGGAGCGCCGGAGATCCCTCCAGCAAAGGTCGAGCCCGCGGGGGGGGGGTCAAGGTATCCCGCGGCTTACTGAGCCGCACTCGCTTCGACCCGGGAAAATCCTTGGCTGAGGAGATGGAGCCACTTTGGAATATCCACTGCTCGGTCTAAAGGATGTAATTACAACCGCTCAAATGGAATAATTAGCCCCTCGTTTTCAACACATTCGTTCTTTGCATAATACACAAGGAACCTGCAGTTGAACCAAATTAAATCCCTTTGAGAGCGGTCAGAGCGGCAGCCAGGATTGAGATCCTCCATGCGAGATGTGTTTCCATATGCATTTGCTAAAGACGAATGTAATGGGATTTAATGAGGTTTATTATGGCGCATTTTACCCCACAACTTATCTGCGTATCATGACTGTGTGAAACAATCAGTTGCAGTAAAGTACATGCCTTCAATAACAGCTGCTTTTGTTCCATTAAAACACAATTAGTACTTTCCCAACACACAGCATGTTAACAATCGTTGATGGGTTCAAAAAAAAAAAAATTCAAACTGTGTGGATTTAATGACAATGTCATAGTAATAATAACCCTGATTGTCAACAACGGGTGGAAAAACCACAACCCTAATAATTGTAGGAATAATTTCACCGCCTAATCCCTGAAGCAGCGATAAAAACCTTAAGATTAATTGGCCTGTCAAAGAGCGAACTATTTCACAACAACATCAGGCTGCAAAAATAAAAAATCAATATGTGTGGAAAAGAAATAACAAAAAGAGGAAAAAATGAAAAAAGGTACAAACTGATAAACGGGAGTGCGAGCAGATAAAATCAGTGGCCATTTGAATTCTCATTACACCTTCAAAGTGTCTCCAAATTGCCCGCCGCCGACTCAATTAGCAGGAACAACATGTGGCGGGACCCCTGCGTCAGTCTGTCTCGTTCACTGATAACCCCGCTGGCCCCCGTGCTTGCTTTGGGTGACCACAACGTCAGTGTCACAATACAGCCACGAATGCCTCCACATCTGTTGGAATCACCCAGCTCGTCTGGTCAGAGAGAGCGAGCAGGGTGGGACAGACAGAGGGACAGAGGGACCCCCCCACCCCCCGCTCGGACCGTCGCGCCAAATCTGAATGTGACTCTGGTCGAACACAAATGTGTTATCAGGTTGACTGTGTGAGCGAATGTGAGATGCAGAATGAGGTTAAAGCTTTTTCTTTTTTTTTGGGGTTATGGGTTTTCCCAGAAGTGGTTGTCCCGTGTTGTCCCGTGTTGTCCCGTGTGTCTCCTGTCAGTCACTGAATGCTATCGCTGGGGATCTTCTGGCCAAACAAAGGCCGGCACCAGCGTGGCGGACAGATTCACCTCGGCGGGCGCCGCTCTGCTTTTCCCTCCTGGTCGAGGGCATTGCTCCCGCCGGTCCCTGTTACATCATCCCTCTCCCCTCTCCTACCCCCCCTCTCTGTCCCTGCATGCTTCAATATGGAGCTGCTAGACACCCCACAAGCCCGTCTTACACACAACACCCCCCCCCCCAATGCAAAACAACCCCCAAAACTAGAAAACAAAGCAACCAGTGTCGGTGTGACACGTGAGCCTGGATTAAGCAAACACGGGAGGTTTTAAACATAAGCAGTGTCCCTCCTGGGCCTTGGGGGGGGGCTCAGCTTTAAGAGCTTCTGCATTCCGAGAATAGTGACTGTGGGGAATTCCCCCCCTCTTGTGCGAGATGTTGGAAGCATGTTGCAAAACACCGCTGGGACTTCCAGCAGTGTCACTCATAATCGCCCTCAGGAATAAGCCGAAATTCCCTGTGGGATAATAATGATAATAATAATAATAATAATAATAATAATAATAATGGTAAAAAAATGGTAAGAGGACCGAATGTGTGGTTACTTTTCCTTAAAAAAAACAATGTAGCCGTTTCACAATGAATCGACTCCAGTATTTTCCTTGGTAAGCGTTCATGGGGCCCGGGTCCCGGTTCAAAGTCTGACAGGCGACCCCTCATTCTTGTCTCGCTCCGCTTTCCCCACTGCCGAAAAAAAAGCACTGAAAAAGTCACAAGGAAGAAAAAACAGTGCCATTTTCTACGATGGAAATAGTGGAAATGATTGATAAAGATGGTAGATAATATTTTTGCTGATGCTCCTTCTTAGCCTCGTGGTCTTGCAGCACAGTGAAGGTTGAGTAAACTAAACTTCCCTTAAAGGTTGTCGGTTCGATCCTTCGCACCAGACAGGTTAAGGATTAAACATCCTGCCAGTCCGATTGTAATGAAGATGAAGTTATCGAAGGCGCCGATAGGCATTTTCTTACGCGATATGAGCCCATTGGACCTTTTGCAACGTCTTAATGCAACGTCACGTGCAAAATCTCATTTTGAGGCTCTGCTCTTAAAAATAATCCAAACCATGACGTCAGAGTGTATTTTCATTTGCTCTGATCTGCTTCACATGACGTTTTACTGCGTGAAAGCGTTGACGTTGGGTCAGAAGCCTTCGATCACTCCCTGTACAAGCCTCACATGGTGCTTTATTAAATAATCACCAGCTGTGACACTTCTGATCGTGGTCAGAAGACTTCAGAAAGGGCGACATGGAAGGACCCTCCTCCTCTGTTGACTTCAGCTGCTCTACGTAAGGTACACAATGAACATAGTACATTAGCACATCTCTTTTAGATCCTTGTTTACTGTTGCACAAGGAAATCAAGCATCTGTTGTGCTGAACAGGCCTCACTTGGATTGTGGAGTTTTGCACAAACGGAGGAAACACAAGACCGTAGAAAAACGTAGACCGCTTTTTTTTTTTTTTGGATACAATTTAGCAACTGCTTTTCCAACAGAAACTCGCTCTTTGGGTATTTGCTGATGTGACTATTATGAGCGCGACAGATGCTGCGTAGTTATTAGCGCAGGAAGACGAGACAAAGCACGAGCAGCAGTGTATCTTTGATAAAATAACAGCCATATTTCTTTTTTTTGTTCAGAGGGAAGGAATGAGGACACAATGCAGAGAGCCCGTGTGTGTGTGTGTGTGTGTGTGTGTGGCCCAGAAAACACAAAGGTAAGACGAGCGAGACGCAACCCTGAGCCAGAAGGACGCGTCGACCAGTCGGTGGACGGGCCTCGACTATCACGAGGCAGAAGGACTTTCTCAGCAGTCGGCTTGTTCCGACGCTCCTTCGTTACTAAACGGACTCTAACCAGAGCAGCGAGAAGCAACTCCTCCAATTAATACGTTCGTTAATTGTTGGTGAAATATCCACACGTGAGAAGTGACACGTCACGTTTGATAAGAGAAGGAACCTGCGAGTCCCTCTGGAGCTGTTCGCCAAAGACACACAGAGAGACAGAGACAGACAGAGAGACAGACACACAGAGAGACAGGGAGAGACAGACAGAGACAGACAGAGACAGACAGACAGGCAGAGCAGTATGACCCAATCAGAGAGGTACATGTTATCAGAGATCAGCCACTTCAAACACAGACAGGAACACACTGACGCCTGAATGGCAGCTGACGAGCCTGGAGACCTTTGTTGGAGGGGGCGGGGGGGCTAGATGTTACAAACAGTTACACACAGCACAACAGCCATTGAGTCCAGATAGCTAATGGGACCCGTGAGTTATAAGTAGTCTTACTGTTTGGGGCACTTAAGAGATTACCCAAATCCCCCCCCCCCCTTTTAAGTGCAGAGCGATGCTCAAAGTCAAACTCAGCCTCAGTGAGGCAGCTTTTATCCCCCATTGATTGTGCTCGACCAAGGCCCCCCCCCCTCCCCTCATCTCCCCCCTGTGGGCTCTGACTAACTGGTTTCCATTATACCAGTGTGTTGATCAGTGGAAGCACGCGTTATTCCACTAGGACGCCTCGGTGGATGCCGAGCGCTCTCATGGAATACGTCCACAGAGGGTCCAGGAATGCTACAGCTTTATACAGGGGGCGGGGGGGCGGGGGGGGGATTTGTGGTTATTATCATATTTCTGTGAGTGAGACCCCCATCGGTCAAGTACACGTGTGGCAGATAATCTCTACAACTGTAGAATATTTGCCTCTATTTTCTCAATCACTTTCATTTCCTTTGGGAAAAGATGACACCTCCAATCAGTATTAGTCAAACTCAATGATCAAGCAGACGATTTTTCATTAATTAACAATAACGGCGTGTTTATAGAGATTTTATAGAGATTTAAAAGGTGCTTTAATGGGCCGTCTACGTACCAACCCTAGAAGAGATGTAATGAATATATGTGTTGAATGTGTATCTCATTTCTCTCCAATCCTAATCGATCATCCTGTCAACGATGGACAAAGACGTCAACAACCTGAAGACCCGTCCAAGACCTGCAGAAGGAAAATGAGCCACAACCAAAGTCCATTAAGGTTATTAACTAGTGAAACTTTTATTCACCATTTTACTTAGAAAAGGTGTCTTAAAATCTAACCTGAGAAAAGTGAGGCTGCTACACAAAGGATTGTTTCACTTCATTCTTTTGCCATTCCTCAAAAAAGAAACCACAAAGAAAAACAAAAAAAAATAGCCAAGAGTGACCTTTCTCGTTTGTGAACATCCTTCCTACAAAGTGTTATTCATGTCTTCACATTCGCTCCTCTCACTGGGGGGGGAGGGGGGGGGGGGGGGGGTGGAAAAATAAAAATACCATTTAAACTAGTGCGACACATGGATTCCTCTGCTTTTGGACCAGGAGTCCCGTTAGATCACGCTCTCTCTACGGGGATCCAAAGGTGTGATCTTCTTCTCCCTCAGCGGTCGACTCAGAAGCAAAGCATCACTTATGTTCATTCACAAAGTCTTCAGCAATAACGTTAATATTGAGGGGGGGTGAGTAGTTATTGGTGACCTCTTTCTCGCCATGGAGGACGAGCCGTGCTTTGCCTAAGAAGCTGGTGAGCGGAGGCTTTGAGTGTGCCCTTCCCCCCCCCCCCCTCCCCGTGTGCGTCGAGCTGCATTTGAAGTGTTCCGATACCGAAATAGAGCAAACGGCTTGGAATGAACCGCGTGGGGATTATTCGTACGCGGATCGAGACTCCCGACGAATCGCTCGTGAGCGAAAAGAAGTCGGGCGAGAAGAAGCGGCTGTGGACGGTTCCGTCTCCGGCCCACAGAGCACAGAGCGGTACGCCGGGGCCCCCAGCGGTCTACACGGGGCACCCTCCCAATCTGAGAATGACACCGAATTCGAACCGTTGGATCTTTCTAAGAGTTGTTTTCTGGATGGACAACAATTCCAGCACAGAAGCTTCCGTAGGCAAATACTACGACGTGAACGCATGATTGCCGTTTCCCCCCCCCCCAGAGGTAATGGGCTCGGAAGCTGTGGAAAAACTGTATTACAACAGTCTTATTTACACGAACCAGAGTGGAAGGCAGGTTGGAAGGTGAGCAGCGTGCACGCGGCATTCAGATTTCAGTCTGTGGCCTCACAATGTTATTCTCGCTTCTCGCTTTGATGTTTTCTGGCTCAAAGAGCTCCTGCAGTAACCGGCCTCCATCGAGGCTTCTGCCAGCGAGCCGACTAATAAATTAAAAGCAGCTAAGAACAAACATTAACACCAGACAAGACAAACGGAACAAATGGACTTAATGAAAATCCTGATTTCGCAGAAGAAGAAAAAAACAAAAAACAAAAACAAAACCCATCACAGTCCATGAGTGAGGCTGCATAAACGCTGAAGGAGGGCGGAGTCCAGCAGAGGCGCTGCTTCACGGCCCCTGCTGGGGAAGCACTGGTGGTGGTGGGTGGTACCAGGTGGTTGTCTCAGCAGGGCGGGGGGCAGTCAGGCGGGGCGAGGGGGCATTCGGAGAGAGAGGGGGATTCTTCACAAGTCCTTCTCATTTGATTTCTTTTTTGTTAATTATTTGTTTTTGTTCCTCTCTTCCGGGCCGTCTGCCTGGCGTCTGAGTGGTGGTCCCGCCTCCCCCCCACCCCCTCCTGGGTTGTGTGTGTGTGTTGCGTTATTTTGTGGGTCTCTGCCTCACTGCGGCGGCGTCTCTCCCACCATCTCGATGCCGTGCTGCTGCAGTTGCGCTCGGAGCAAAGCGTTCTCGTTCTTCAGCTCTTCAATCTTAAGAACAAAGACGGGGAAAAGAAATCTCATTATCAACGTCTTCATCTCCGTGACAGCCAAATATAGCTCAGGGTTTACAGACTAAACTTTCCCTCTTCTGTCGGAAGACTCGAGAGCTCTGGCTGTGTGTAATGCTCGCGGGGGTGGGGGGGAGGGAGGGGGGGGGTTGCAGCCCTGATCTAAAGACACCCCCCGTCCACCAACCAAGTGGATTATCCAATCTGGAGGTATGTCATCCCGGCTCCATTTCCCCCCCCGGGCGACTCCCCGACTCCCCCGAGGGCACGAGGAGACGAGTATATCGCAGAGCACTTCTGTCGAGACTTCACAATACTCCGAGTGCAGTTCTCAACCCCCCCCCCACACACTCCCGCCCCCTGTGAGTGTATTATTCCCACAGTCCCTCAAAGCGCGGATTTCAGGTAACACTATCTGTGCAAACTCTTTGGATCCCTCTTTGTCAGACAGTGACGATAGGCTATGCAGACTGAATTCTCGAGGTGGGAGGGGGAGGTGGGGGGGTGTCTCGGGGAAAATGAAGCTGTATATGGGGCCAGATGAATTTCATGCCTCTGAGACTCTACTGAGAGGATGTTGCCATGCACTCCCAAAGCAAACCCGCCTGCTCAATGCAGCGGCAATCTTTACAGGCGCATGTGCGGCCCGCTGTGACGGCCTTATTATTCGTGGCTTTATTATTTATTTATCTGCAACACCCGACCACCTCAAAAGGAAGACTTCGACGTTATCATTCACGGGCCTTCTTCGCGCAATGCTGGTGTTGTGTCGGCAGGGGGGTCGGGGGGGCAGACACTCCTACCTGCTGCCTGCACAGGTCGTTGTCCACTTGTATCCTCTCCACGTCCTTCACATCCTCCTGCAGCCGCTGGTTGCTTTGCCTCAAGTCGCGGATGTAGTCGCAGGCCTTCGACAGGATGCCCCCTTTGCTCTGGGGAGGACAGAGATGAACGGTGACCCTCATGGAGATGTGAGCAGAACAGTGAGCAGCAGTGGCGCTGCGAGTGAGGGCGCTTACTGCTCCGGTCTTGGTGCTGTCAATGTTGCAGTCTGGTATGATCTTGGAAAGCGTGACGATCCAGTTGTTGATCTTGTCTCTTCTCCGCCTTTCGACTGATGGAACGTTAAATAGAAAAGAGCTTGAAGAATGTGGATTATATCAAAAGACACAGCCGGCATTTCTTGAGTTGAGAGATCAGAGGTAGTCTGGGTACTAGAGAACCACGTTTTCATTTCTTTTGCCTGCCTTTGACGGCTTAACAGCCCCCTCCAGTGGCCAGGTCAGATACATGCGTCATATCTGGTCCTAATAGAATATTTAAACAGGGCTCGGTGATTGTTCTTTCAACAAAAATGCTCTATTTAGGGACTGCATTGTGTTACGCTGATGAAATCAAAAGGCGCAATCGCAGCTAATTACCCACCTTCATTGTGTTGCGCTCTCCTCCTTTCATCTCTCGGCGTTCGCGGCCCGTCCATTTTCCTGCAGACAGAGAGGAAATAAAACACTTTTCTATCTCCCATCTCGGGCTGCCCTGCAATCAGGCACAGGTCCAAACTAATCCCACAAATGCACCTAATCCTGTTCCTCCTGAAAACTATTCTTCACGGTTATCTTTTAAATTCAAGCCTATTGTAATCACAGCCACTGTGCAACTCGGTGGGAATACTGAGAGAGGCACAGACGTGCAAGGCCACGAATGCAGCCCTGATGTGCTGGGAAGCTGGGATCTTATTCTTATTGCTGTCCTCCTCCCAGGTGTGGCCTGAAGGGAGCTCTCTGCTTTATTATGCTGTAAAATTACAAGACTGAAAGAAGAAAGAAGGAAAAAAGAACCAGATGCTGTCTATTTGAGTGTGAGCTTACGGATAATGACTGTCTCCTGTCTGCGTCCTCCCTTAGGTACTGTGTTAATTAAGTCTCATCCATCCACCCACCTCAGCACCAAAAAGGCCAATAACACACTTGCACGTAATCACAAGTCGACCCGTCTGTTTGTAATGACTCAACCGAGGTGCGAAACAACAGACTCAGAGGGCAGAAAACGAATATTGCGACTGTTGTTTATTGGCTGCACTTCTGCTCACTTTGCGCTCTAATGTCCCGTGAGGTCACACCTGCTCCTCGTGTGTCCCTCCTCGACCCTTCTTTACCCTGCGTGGTCACCCAGCGGCACGACTCCACTGCTGATATCTCTGTTTGACAAAGTTCAGGCTCGCTTGTATCTCAACGCATCTTAATGGGATTTCAGCTGTAGAATGGATCGCAGAACAGTACGCTTAGGCAGAGTAAAGAAGAAAAAGAAAAGAAGAAAAAAAATGAGGACGACTGTGTGAATCACTAAATGTGTAGGCCCGGGGGTACGTCAGTCCCCCCCGCCCACCCACAACTTATAGAGGCACACCTCATCAGAGAGCTCCCGAGAATTATTGATGCCGCAGAAATCCAGAAAAATGAGCAGTGCACCATCCCGCTGGCGGGGGGCTTCCTGCGTGCAATTTAAATAAGGGATGCAGACGGGGACGACATTCTTCTCACACATCGCCGTGGAAGGAGGAATGAACGCGGTACTCCGTCTGCGCTGGGCTGTTAAACCAGTCAGTTAGATGGACTTTGAGTGCAGCCTGTGCTTGATATTAATCATTCATATTCTCTCCCACATTTAGAGATTGAAGGTTGATTGCTTTCGTACAAACAATTATTTAGAACAGATAAGGGGAGATTGACAAAACCCAGCACTAACTACTACTCCTACCATGACGTACTAACAGAGTGCTGAAGGACGGCGTCCCAAAACCCAGAAATGAGTTGGCATGTTCATAGTTTTGGTCAGGTGGCTGAAATAAAGCCCTTGTTGTTTTTTCCTTCATATAAAACGTCCGTCGGTGGCCCTCAGGTTGGCCTGACTAAAAACAAAGCGGTTGCTAACAAGTGGCTAAATAACACTGCGATACGTCGTCACCTCCCTCCCTCCCATGACCTGTTTTAAGTCCTCATGGAGAACAAGGAGCTACCACCAATGGATCCAGAGCAGGGACATGGGAGGGAGGGAGGTGGGGGGGCTTTTTGATTTGCTGTGAAATAATAAAAGGTGTGAGAAATGTGGAAGCTGTCCTCACCAGTTTAAACCTTCTTGCTGCAGCAGCTCGTTTTCATCTCTGCGGATAGGGTGGGACATTTTCATTCATTTTACTCACATGTCAACGACAACGTCACTGTTCATTACTTTACACCGAAATGTCAACTCCGAGGCACAAATCAGAAACTATTCATGAGTGGGGAAAAGAAAGAGAAAAACAAACACATTGTAGATCGGTATTGGGAGATGAAAAAAATAAAAATAAATATTTCACTTTGCATTTCGGCACGTGGCGACGCGGAGCTCGCCGGTTATTCTACCGGAAAGCGCAGAGATCTACAGCTCCTCGTAATGCGGCCGACAACAAACAAGCCCACATCTTCTTCTTGAAAATCACAGAAGCACGGCGCTCTACTCCAAGCTGACACTTAACAACTGAAAGGCGGTTAGGAGAGTCTGTCTTCTGTTCGCGTGTCCTTTTCATGAATCGGAAAGAGGTAAAGAACGGAAGCTTAATCCGCCACGTGGAACCAGCGTGTCCTAAAACGGCGATCTGCCTAAAGGACCAGAATACAGTTCCTCGTGTCGAAGGTTGACTACAAGGAGGTGGAGGTCAATTTGATTACCGGTCATGTGCTCAGGTTTGAGTGACCATACGAGCAGTTTGCTGTGTTTTTGCCACATAAGAAGCCACGGTCACGTTAGAATTAGCATCCGTAGCAGATCACAATGATCACTCCCGAGGAACATGCTGATTATCTTAACAATAGCAATCACCAGCGTGTAGCTAACAGTTGCAGAGAGGGAGACTATTTTGAGGAGTGATTGTAATGATGCAAGTTGTCAAATTTAGGAATAAACATTAAAAAGAAATTTGAAGAGGGAGGGGAAAAAAAGCCAGGATGCGCTAAAAAGAAAATGACGTAAATAATATACGATTGCATTTCATGGCGTATAAACTGAGGGTAAAAGTAGTTTGAATGGTTTATGTTCATATTACTGTGTGAAAGACCTGATCCTTCTTTTTCCTGCATCAGCATTTACTCGTGGGAATCCAGCATGCTTTGTTCAATCAGTATGCGTTGATGTTGACATATATATATATTTATATATGCCAGATGGGCTTTCTTCTCTGTGAAGCTTGTGGGGATTTGTGCTGAAGCGTTAACAAACACAAATGCCTGCCATTCTTGCAATGAATGGTTAAAACCGGGAGAAAAAAAAACACCCAATGTAAAAGGCTGAAAACGAGACATTTAAAAAGCAATTTGTCCCCGTGTTCAACTCCAACAAAAGGTCCCCCTTCGAGGCAGATCGCAGCGTGTCGGCTGAAGGGGGGAACCGGCCGACAGGAGGTGGCACTTTTGCTGAAGATGACAACGGTGTTCTACAAGAAGCGTTTGTTTTCACAGAAAAAGCCACGCGTCAAACGCCAGCGCCGTCTCCTCCCGGCAGAGCTCATACTCACGCGGGGTACGGTTGAGAGCGAGGAGCGATGGTCCGCTGCGGGCCCGTCTGAATGACGTCGGGGGGGGTCATCATCACGTAGAACTGACCTGTCGGAGGCAGGAGGTCATCGGGTCAGCGCGGCGGAGGGAAAACAGAGAGAGTGCGAGAGTGTCGCCCCCACAAAAGGTCACCGAGACGAGTAACAAGCACTTATTCAATTAGTTTTAGATGACCACGCCGATGATAAACTGTTACAAACCAGCTACAACAGAGACTGTGTAATAGAGGCATCATCTTCAGTGAAGCCGTAGTAAGCTTCGACCCAAATGAAGTGCGAGGCCGGACTCACCCCCTGCCTGCGTGAGTGTGGGGTCCGCGGCGGCCTGAACAGACACGGTCCCGTCGCTCACCGCGGCAGCGGGGAAGTAAGCGAAGCGCGTCTCCCCTCCCACCGCGTCGCCCGCCGGGCTTCCTCCATTGCTGAAAGGGTTTTGGATCACTGCCTGTGACGGATAAGAGACAGACAGAGGGGAGGCTTGAACGGGCGGCAATGGAGCGGTCGCAGCAGGCAAACGCACACCTCATTCTCTGTCACGCTCCGTCCGAGACCCCACCAACCAAGACAACAGAAGTAAATAAAAGATACAGGGTTGTTAGTGGAGAAAATGGCGAGATCAAGAATCGGTTTACTGCAAATGAAAACAAATTTGATCTGTTCTCGCAAAGGGTAATTGGATGCTTTTAGCCCAAAACATGCTGTGAATTTGGCTATTAACAATGCCCCCGCGCCACTTCATTTTCAATCCCCTCGAGCAGCTTTGTGTCGGGCACACGTCCCACTCAAGACACATTCGCTGTTTGTACTGCTTTCTACAACGGTACGTCTCATTTGTGTGTTTGGACATGGCGTGTCTACAGAGACGTTGAATTAATTGTTGGTTTTAATATTTAAATCACGGAGACTGTTGAAAGGATGAAAGCCGAAACATCGCCAGCCTTCTCCTTAAAGGCGATGTCATTACTTGAAGACCAAACGCCTGGAGGAGGAGGACTTTAAAGCAGTCCATCTCCTTAGTGGGTTCTCTTCCATCAATGAGAAATAGGGGCATTGATGGAAGAGAACTCAGGCCACAGCCTATGGAGCCCCCGTGAAGGCGGCGGTAGAGAGGACACTCACTGCTGCTCCCCCGTCATCCCGCCCTTCGAGCTGCTGGTCGGTCACCTGGACAACGCGGTACGTCACCTGCCAGGTGGAGAGAGGAACAAGAGAAGATGTGAGGAGCGCAAACCAGAGGCGGCAGGTTGTTCATGTGGTGTCCAAGGGTCCCTAGGACAGGCGTAGCGGGTCGCAATCTAAAGCTAACCTGACGTGATGATTTGTTTAGCACGTCCATCACTTTAGTTCAGCCTAGTATCTGACGCTATGCTCCAATCCAGGCACCTTCTGAGGCGTGAGCACATTGTATCGCTCTCCATTTGCTTATGCTTCAGAATGTGCCTGATTTGAATCTGTATTTGTAACCCTCCGTCATGTGACCCTCCGGCTGACTGACATGTGACAGCGTTACCCGTGCCAATCCCAGACCGGGCTGCAATCACATGATCGCTCACACTGGTCTTAATTACGCCAAATGAGCCACGTGGATCCCTGACTTCCTCCCGGTGAGGAGGAAAAGACTTAGATAATCACGCCTTTTTACTTTTTCCCCGACCAGTTAATTTGCATCATCACTGTCCCATTGTCCACTGATTGAGTAAATAGCCCTTATGGGGACAGCAAGGAGCCACTCTCTGTTTACCACCCAATCATGAGACCAGAAAAAGAAAACCCACATACTCCGTCAGCCGACTCACAGCCTGCCATCCTCCTGACTCGTCTTTGGAATAAGGCGCCGAGCGTCCGAAAAACAAAACAAATGACGACACTTGTGAGAGCGAGTCCAGTTTCTCACTGTGAGGTGACGGCGCTTCCTCCGAAACGCGCATATGACGGACCATGAATTACAGAGCGTACATGCAGTACATGTGTAGGGTGTGAGGGGGGCGGCGATATCACATCATCTGCCACTGTGACGTACACATGCAACCAACCCCATTCAACCCCATCCATCAATACGTAACGTGAAGCTCTGTCAGTTGCTAATTACATTTCTGCAGCAGGCTGACTTGGGAGCAATAAGCCATGAGTACAGTGGCACTACGTACTTTTACTCCAGCATTGCACGCATGTGAAAATTGAGGGTTAGGGTCAGTTGATTTTATCAAATCATTTGGAATAATGTTCTAGGACAATTTTGAAGAATGAAAAAAATATTTTCACGTCAACTTGGAGAATCACATGCCCCTCAAAACTGCACCCTGGATCATATTGTACATCTGCGTATTGTACTTTTGCAACACTTTCACTGTTAGTTAGTATTTACTGCCGATTTAGGTTATTAATCCAAATCCTATGATATGTAGAATTTAAGCCACTCAGGCCTTAAAGGCAGTCCACATCAGCTCCATCTTTACCAGCTGCAGCACCGGTGATGCTCACACATTAATGCATCACTACCCCCCCTTGCACTCACCTGCCCCCCCTCGGTGCGGAACTGATATTGTATGTTGTGGTCGGCGAACGCTGCAGCCTGCTGCACGCCGGCTATGGTGACGGCCGTCTGCTCCTCTCCTGTCCCGTCTGAGGAGGAGGAAGAGGACACACGGGAGGGGATTAACGGGCCGTGCGTGCGCCGCGTGTTTGTGTCTCCATTAAGTGTGAGAGATCACGGCGGTTTATCGGCAGGTGACGTTTTCTGCCTCGCGGGTGTCTGTGGTGCGAATCACTTATTTTATTAACTTGACTGACAGCTCGGTGGACGTAAAGTCTTACCTTCAGACACCTGGACAACTTCGTCTTCTTGCTTTTCTTGGCTGCGAACCAGAGTGACAATAAACGTTATTTTAACATAATTGTATTGGATTTAACGTTGAAACCAACAGAGTGAATTCCCCCTCAACTTCAAGCGTGCAGCCCGGCTGACGTTACGGGAGCTCGCGCGGCTTATTACGCGGTCGTTTGTGAATAAACACCAACGGTTAGCATCGGCTAACCTAACGTTAGCTATTGTATTATTAGCTCGTCGTTATCCTGCGTTTCATCCTGTTGGGTTCATCTGGTGTACAACTCGGCTGACCGGCTAGCGAAGCCGCCCCGCTTCTATTTCACAAGTCAAACTGTTCACTTCGGCTCAAGCGCGTGCGGACAAAGAGCGTTTTTAAAGTTAACCCGGGCCCTTCGTTCGCGCACTAACGGAAGCTATCCCGGTTAGCATGCCGCGGCTAGCTGCTCCCCTCAGCCATCTTTTTGGCCGATTCTCGTGTTACCTTGCGCTGTCCAGACTCCGTTCGAGCATATCCATCAGGGTCAGAGTAAAAAAAAATGATATACAGTGTCACGGACGAGAGATGGAAGTGGTGATCACGGGAACAAACACTCGGGTCATGTGAGGGGGGGAGAGAGAGGGAGAGGGAGAGACGGCCCAGGACACGTGAGGCGCGGCTCGGTGTCGGAGTCAAAATGGAGGCCGCCTCCGCCGCTGCCGGCTTGTTGTGACCCGAGCTGCGTCAAATCAAACACACCATTTATTCCGCTGTCGATATGTGTGGACATTGAGAGAAAGTGGGACGCTGCTGGGAGAGATGGTTAATGCGCAGATTATTTTGCTAAATTTTGTTCGACGGATTGAAAACCGCTCTAACACAAGAATTCAAAATGAACCTTTAGTTTTCACGCTGTGACGCAAATGCACGTTATTATTATTATTGATCCCCGGCAAATAAGGACGGCTCGCACATAATTTCCATTCTGCTCATTTTATTGTTGTAGTATTTGTTTTAGTCTTTGATTCTCATTGCAGGTTAAATTGACCCATCTTTTCCGCCAAATAAACAAAGCAAACCGTCTCAATTATGAGATGTCTCAAAATTAATGAGATAATATTTTGAAACTATAACATCTCAAAATAATGACTTGTCTGGCTCTAAATAAGTAGTCATCTTAAAATAGATATAGACTGATGAAGAGTCCAAATATTGAAAATGTTTCTCAATATTTTGAGATCAGGTTTGAGAAGCTTTCTCATTCATTTGAAATACAAAGCCTAAGCCATTATCTTGAGGACGTTTCTCCTTAAAATGAAGGATACTCTTTTATTACAATGACAGAAATGGCTTTCAATACTTTCACAAATTTGTCTTTTACGTTTACATTTGCTTCTGAAGTTGAGAATGTAGAAGACCTTTAGCAGTGATTTTCAAAATGATTTTGACCCAGGCTATTTTACTTTTTCTTTACTTTACCACAACAATAAACACTAACTTCACCCTTACTACTATCCAACTAAAGCAAATATAGTCCAATTGACAAGCCAGAAGGTTAAAATGTCAAATTTTTATGAAATGATAGAATGGCAGAGAAGATTAATAAAAAGCAACTGCATAAAGGGATTGACTGTGACATGTGTTATGTTGACATGTTTGTTATTAATAATTATGTAATTGAATAATTGTCAGAAATTGACAAGATTAATATATATATATTAGTCATACTTATTAGCAATATATCACGTTAACTTCACCTCATTAAGTCACTTGATCGTTTGCCGTGAACTTTGCCACACATAAAGCGGAACGTTTCTCCGTTGTCCTCTGTTTACGAGAAAGATATGAAGAGCACCACATTATTCACAGGTGATCTGTCGTTCATCTTGCAGTTTAAACTACTGAACAGTTTACTTTGGCCATTAAATTGATCAGACGAGTTTTCCAAAACTCTTAAATAACTCGTAACTGACTAAAAACGACACTTGTTTATTGAATTTAACAACGGCTTGAAGCGAGTGTTGGCCAATCAGTATTAAGATTATTCGCTATAGTCAGCTCTCATTGGCTGGAACGGGAGGCGGTCTCCTCAGCTTCCTCATCGGGAGTCACTCTGAAATAAGGCCGACCTCTCCTCCTTGGGTGAAGGTTCAATGCGGTGACACCTTTTCGTTAGCTGACTGTGGTAACGCGTAGTTAAACCTCCCAGCGACGATGTCTGGCCGTGTCCTCGTTGGAGTTAAGCGAGTCATTGACTACGCCGTTAAGGTAAATATCCTCTCGCTGTTCCAACAGACGTACCCCCTTTTTTTTGCAAGAGTATTTGTCCCGGTCTCCCTCACTTGACTTTCTGGGTTATGCTAGCTAACGTTAGCCTGCAGGCACCAGCTGGCTCGGGCTCAGGCGCTGAAGAGCAAAACTACCTGTTTGCGTATTTACTAGATCAAGTCAGTCTGCAGCTAAACCGACCTGTCACCCGACGTGCTGCAGTGCGATTAATCATTTACAATACGTTAGCAATGTAACGTTAATGCTCGATCGGTTAATTAACAGTTGTAAGGCTGAGGATCTCAAGTTATGCAACTTAACATCTGTCTGGCTGAAACAAATGTAACCTGTCCTCTATATAATCAGCTTTTCCTTCATCTGAAGTAAGCCAGTTTCTCCCTGGCAGTCAATTTATGTGATTGAAATGTTCTTTAGCGAGCTTACAGTGTCCCATGGACACCAAGAGTCAATGTTTGCAGCTGTTTCATGTGACCGCAAGAAGGCTCCTGCTCCAGCTGCCCGCAGCTGGATCTGTGCAGGGTCAGTGGTCAATATTGACCCCCTGAAGTTTAATCATAATCTAGCATAAACGCCATAAAATACGTCAGTAAAAGTTTAGTCCATGTAAATCAGCCCATGTCAGATTGAGCCCTCGAAAACTCAGCATATCATTTGTGATGTCACAGCGTCTCCATGATCAAAGCCAGTTCCAAAAATCTTTATTTTAGGTTTTACTGCTTTGGTAAAGAGGGAACTTGCTACTGAGTTGTCACCTCAAGCACATCAAATGCCCTTGGCATTAATTGGAATGAGAGTCATTACTCATCGATATCTGCCATTTTAGAATGAAATGCCTCCATGCGTCTGAACACCAGAGTCTTGTCAATCAATTAGCATATCCAAAAATAAATGTTTAGCGAGCTGCGCACTTTCTCTTTTTAGAACAGGTGTCACTAGATGTCCTGCCTTTTTTTTAAATCTCCAGACATGTTTGTCATCTAGAACCACCCCTCACCCCCTCTTGTAGTGACTCCGTCTTGTTGTATTCCTCCCAACTCCTCTTCCTCAGATTCGTGTGAAGCCGGACAACAGCGGCGTGGTGACGGATGGCGTTAAGCACTCGATGAACCCCTTCTGTGAGATCGCGGTGGAGGAGGCGGTCAAGCTGAAGGAGAAGAAGTTCATCAAGGAGGTTGTGGCTGTCAGCTGCGGGCCACAGCAAGCGCAGGTGAAGGGGGAGAGGAAGAGGAAGGAGGAGGGGGCGACATCCTGGGAGCTTGCAGGGTCACATTTTGCATGCTTTTTGAAATTAGTTCTTTTAGTGGTTTGATAGCTAAACTGTTTGTCCTCTTTTTATGTTTTTTTTTTTGTCTAATGTGTTTTGATGGCCGACTTTAACATTTTCAATATGTAACGACAATAGTTACAACACCTAGTGGCATTGAAATTGTTGGTTATTTAGAGCAAACTTCAGAAGCAAGCCAATGTGAGAAAAACGTATTATCAGATATGTATTAGAATGTAATTATAATTTATATTGATCTGGAGATATGTTGCATATAACTTTGAGTTGCTACCATATAGTGGTAATTTAATTTACAGAAGTTCTTTTTAACCCATCCTCCCTCTCAGGAGACCATCCGTACAGCCCTCGCCATGGGAGCAGATCGTGGCATTCATGTGGAAGTGACTGGGAAAGACTATGACACACTGGGACCTCTGCAGGTCTCCAAGATATTTGCTGCGCTGGCCAAGAAGGAGGATGCTCAACTCCTCATCCTCGGCAAACAGGTTGGAAATCAAGATTCATGTCACTCTTTAAATCAGCTGTCTGTGATAAACTCAACTTGTTAACTGACCAATGATAACTTTTTTGATCAATGTTTCTCTTGCTCTTCTAAGTCAATGAAAGAATCACTCAAAATGTAATTTGGTTCACTGTAATTGTTGTGCATGTGTCATAAAGAAGCTTAAACCTGAGACTTGTGTTGCGTCCGTAGGCCATCGATGATGACTGCAATCAGACCGGCCAGATGACAGCCGCATTGCTGGACTGGCCTCAGGTACGCTGCGGCTTAAGCAAACTATATTCCTGACGGGACTTGGCCCACCTGTCTCAAATGATGTTAGGTTCTCAAAATGGCTCAACTGATTACAGAGAATTAGATAACCCAGTTTCTATTTTTCCCTTCTGCCTCCACAAAGGTCAGATGAGTGACGTTGACACCGCAGTGGTGAAATCATGCTGTGCCTCTGCGCTTATCAAAGTTAGCAGAGACTAGTTTGAGTCAGTGCGAGCTGCAGGGGTCAAATGCTGTGGTGAAGATCCACTAGCCGGCCACTAGGTGGAGCACTTTGTTGACGTGTAATCTCATAGTGAGGATAATGTACATCATGTTCCATTGTGGGGTTTTTCTGTTTTGGTTTGTTTTTAAAAAATTAGTTTTGCCATCGCATTTTTACCCACATACAATTGCATCAGGACGGTTTTCCCGGTTTTTGTTTGTTTGTGGATTACATTTTTTGAATTTGCATTGTATCTTTTATTATTGCAGGGTACTTTTGCATCAGAGGTTTCATTGGAAGGAGACAAGATTAAAGTGGTGAGAGAAATTGATGGCGGCCTGGAAACCATTAAGATCAACACACCAGCGGTGCTCACAGCAGACCTTCGACTCAACACCCCCAGATACGCCACCCTGCCTAATATCATGGTAGGTTTAAAAAGCCACTGAGCCCGGTTATGCAAATCTGTAATAAGTGTTTGCCTTTTGATCTGTACTTCACCCGTGTACTTTCAGAAAGCCAAGAAGAAGAAGATCGCTCAAGTGAAGCCTGCCGACTTGGGGGTGGATATCACATCCCGGTTGGAGGTGTTGAGAGTGGACGAGCCCCCACAGAGGCTGGCGGGGGTGACGGTGGAGACGGTCGATGACCTAGTGGCCAAACTGAAGGAGTCGGGGACGATATAGAGTCTTTAGGAACGAGAGTAGGGGAGCAAACAACACTGCAGAAGGGTACTTACACCTTATTCATCCTATTTTCAAATGATTGAAAACAAATGTTTATGAAATAACGTGTCTTTCCTCTTTTCTTTCAGTACATTTTTTTTTTTTCTATCACTGTATGTCGCAAAGTAGAAGCTAAATGAGAAACTAGATAATTATAACCAATTTAATCTATCATTTGATGGGTCCTCTGGTTATCAATATATTTAATATGTATTTTCCCTCAATTGACTAATTGATTTAATCAACTCACAAAAGTCACAGCTCTAATGTCAGCCTATTGTACTATTGTATTTACTCTTATCAGATTATGGTGTACACTATTGTCACAATTTAACATTAAAGGACCAATGTAGGGAAATTAAGTTCTGGACCCGAGCTGTTGCTTAGCAATACAATTCCCTAGAAATGTTCTGAGTCTCTGCATGTCAGATAGTTGTTTTCTGCCACATCAATGCTTCGACTGTCTGTCATAAATGGCTCCATTCAAGTTTTTGGGTGCAAACTATTAGTGAGAAAAATGCTGAATACAACGGCCAATACTTCAATCTTCATAAAGAAAATTCAATTTCCAGCCAGCGTATACATGCAGCCAGGGAACCATTTGTGAATTATCTTCCTTCAATATTAATGTTGCTTTTTTAGATTCACCATCGGCAACCATTGTTGGGGGGGGAAGAAGCAAAAAGTGAATGAAATTACGGAGAGGATGTTGTTATCTAGTGGTCACGGAAACGAAGGCAATTAAATAATTGTCTGTTTCATATCTCTGTTCTCTTCTCTCCCTGCAGGACCTTCTCATGAACAACGGCACTGTGTTGCACAAGTGCAGCCGGAGGCCTTGCTTATGTTCTTCTAACCCTTCTGCCCTTGACAGCGACTCCCGAGGACACGCGAGGAGGTACCGAGACACACCGTCCTGCGGCGGAGATTCCCCGAAAGGATCACCTCGTCTTTTGTGTCCATTGTAACTCTCATTCATTCACGGGTTAATAATTTGACTTTAGCCGAGCCGCCTTTGTGCAACAATCGAGATCCAAGCCAGTTTGTTTCACCCTGTACGATACCAGGACGATGCAGCTCAATAACGGTCGGTTTTCACCTGGTGCATGTGTAAATGGTTTATGTAGATACAGTCATCTCAACTTGTTTGGGTCTATATCGATCAAGATTAGTGATGTGCGGTGATTTGTATAGTTTGTGTAAATGGAAGCGGGTTGTAGGAGTCTGCAGACAGTGTCTCTTGGTACAAGCGGAAGGGGAATGATCCAACTTTTACCGTAAGCGCCTCAATTCTGTGTGTATCCTACAGAACATGACAATAAAGCAGCCAGTCTTTTTAATATCTCAAGAATGTGTTTTTGCTTTTGTTTGACATGTTAACGACTCTTAACAGGCAACGTGTGTGTGTGTGTGTGTGTGTGTGTGTCGTATTGTATTGTCAATGACACATTGCTTCAACAGGTTGTGTTGAATCAAGCAGCCATAGCCAAAAGAAGCTTTTAAATGAAGTTACACTTCGGCAAACCTAATTTTGTCCAATACAAAAATGCTGCACTAACTCAATTTCATAAAGATCAGAATGCTCCACTTAGTAGCGCTGTTTATTCATGTGTAGTATTCTGTGTAACTCCGATATCGAGCACATGGTAACTGAACTGGCAAAGAGGGTCAAGGTCTTGTTTACCGTCTCCGCTTACTGTTCCTCCAGAAGGACCGAGGTGAAGGTACCAGCAATGTGGGCTCCAGCACACACATACACAGCCTTTACTATATGAACGAGACTTCAATGTACGTACGTGCGCTAATCAAAGTAAAACCACGGGCCTTGGGTTCAACGGAACCACCCGACTATTAAATAATAGTTCTACCACAGCGCGTAACTCTGCGCTGCTGTGGAGAATCGTCTGAGGGGGCGTGGCCTCGCCAGCACAATCAAGGCTTTGATTCGGCACAGGTGAGCCTCGCGCGCACTGCTGACAGGAGCACACGGATCCGGTCACTGCTGCACGAGACACCGAGGACGTCGCTTCGCTTGATTTTATTTCTTTAATTTTAAACTTATCGACCGAAAAGAGTCTCTAGTGAATTGTTTTTTGTAATGAAATGTCTTATCCAGATGAATTTTGGCGGATAAGCGCGTTTTTTCTGGCTGTTTTACTCCGCTTCACTTTTCGAGGTAACGTTTTTAAACGCTTTGCCCCTTCGCCACATACAGGGGGAAATTGGTGCCTTTCGCTAATATTGATTTCTGTGTGGCACCCACGTTGAATTACTTCTATTATAATGTGCTTGTCTAAAGGACACGTTGCATGTCTCCTCAACCGCCGGCATGTATTAAATCTGTACCACGGACTTGAGATAACCGAGATGAACGTTTCCTCGCGCAACGTCACCGACCTCCCTTGCAGGTGCATCCTGCCAGCTCGTGGTTTCCCCCGCTGGTCCCACGCTGCAGACCGCTTTGGTCGGCCACAATGTGACCCTGGCTGTGTCCTTCGCCGGTGCCCCCGACCCAGTGGTTATCTGGTCCATGGCAGACGTACCTGTGGTCACATGGGTCATTGACTCCGCTGACCCCCCTGTCATAGCCGAGGCCAGCAGGAATGTGCTGAGGATTGATGCAAATGGCTCCCTCAGCTTTATAAACGTGCCACTTGGATATACCAGTAACTACACCATTGAAATGACAAAGTCTGGACTGGGGAAATCCTCCATTACTTTCACTCTGAAAGTCTTTGGTGAGTACTCCGATTTATGTCTCGTGACATTAGGATAAAATTGCACACGAAAGCTCCCAAATGTCCTCAGTTAGTCGACTGTCCTCAATAATAATGGTGCAAATCACAATTGGACGCATGCAACACGTCTCCTGGAACATTTTCAAATATTATTCTTCTCAATTTGTTCCAGAATAGTTCCTAAATATAACAATTTTGAATTTACACAAGGGATGCATGATTGGTTTTATTTGACGTCTGAATCCTTTTCTCTCTGGGCAGCGAGGCCGGCGGGTGACTCGACGTGCTCGCTGCAGTCGGTGAACAGCGTGGACCTGCAGTACTACTGTCAGTGGCCCGGGGGAACCCCACCAGCTCGCCTTTCTTTCCCAGCACTAAACTCTTTCCGCAGTGGAGAAGGAAACCTGAGCCTGATCTTCCCAGCCTCGCCTGACCTCGACGGGAAAATGGTCACGTGCCTGGCTGACCACCCTGTCGAATTGAGTAACTGCAGCATCACCGCAGGTACGTTCTGGCCTTTTCACAGATCATCAAGCCGACAACCTGTAGTCCTCCCACGGACTTTAGTAGCCGGCGCCAAACCAGAACCGTGTCCTTCTCAGGGGGGCCCAGCATGTTCCTGCCAGCTGTCAGGACCACGGTGGACCCTGATGGCAAAATATTGGTGACCATCAACTGCGTCAGTGAGGCCTCGCCTCCGGCTTTGGTCTCATGGTCCAAGGGCAGCGACAGCATCGTCGGCACGGCAACGCACCAAATCAGCAGGGACACCACAGAGCTTCAGATCCGCGATTACGACGTCAGCAACTTCCTCCTCCAGAACTACGCGTGTACCTGCCGCAACCCACTGGGCAGCCAGAGGAGGGAAATCCAGCTGAGAGGTGCAGTACTGCTGTTGGTTGGTTGATATGTAACACAAAAGTGGTGAAAAACAACCAGATGCTCAAGCACTAAGTTTTTTTTTTTTTTTTAAATAGAGGCACTACGTATGTGTCCACTAAGTAAAAGATTAAAGATAACCTAAGGTGTCCCATTTCAATACCAGGATAAACTACCGTACTCTTAACTACATTAATTTAGCCCCACATGAACCAGCTAAGATGTTAATGTCTGAGTTTCTACTGATTCATACTACAGAAAAGGGCTGCAATGAATATTTTAGTAGATTCACAGAAAATATAACTATTCTCTAAACTAAAAATAAACTAGAATGGCAGAGATATTCCCTTGTTTAAATTATTAGTGTGATAGTGTTTTACACATGTTTTGACTTATTGACTTAAACAAGAATACGTAGCAATTTAAAAATGTCACTTTAGGCTTTTCATAAATACTTTAAAAAGACCAAACTTTGAGTAGATGAATAGTGAGAGAGAATGAAAGTAGTTGCAACCTCACTTTTCTACACTTACTTTGTAAGTCATGTAATATCATGTAATACTTCAAGTTATGTCCAGTGGTATTGATGGTTACAGACTAGCAGTGACTTTGTTGCTCAATACCACAATGATTAAGTTTCCTTCAACTTCTAGGCTTACCAGAGCAAAAGAAACAACAGGCCTTTAGATGAAGAGCCAAGTAAAACCTAACATTGCTCTTTCCCTTTTGAAACAAAGCCCCCCAGTATCTGTGCCCCCCCCGTCCCTGAGCAACCTCCAGCTCACAATCCCTGTCTTTCCAGGACCGTTGATCTCAGATTCCCGATTATTCACCAATCACAATGGAACCATCGTCACGTTGACCTGGGAGGTCCCGCCCACCTCCATCGTCACAGGTGAAGCAGATCTTCTTAAAGATCACACACAAACCCAACCTTCTTGTTTTGAATTAGTGCAGCTCCGCAGGCCGGCAGTGAAAACAAACAGAAACATGGAGGATGGGGGTGTAAATATTGTGTGAGAGCCTCTAGCCGAGCAGTGCTGTGTTTTGGAAAAAAAATTGTGTGTCCGTTTTATTCTTGATGTTCGAGATAAAAGCTGGTCCGCATCAAACTGGCCTTTAAGACTGAGTGAGATCCTGCCATGTGGAAACACCATACGCTTTAATGAAAACTTCAATGTGGGTTCAAACAGAACTGCATGTGCTTTTATATTTGTAAAGGGTTTGACGTCCAAATGAAAGGACCAAACAGCCTGAGCAGGAATCGAAGCGGTAACCAAACCAGAGGCAGCTCAGACTGGTTCCACACCATCCAGCAGAAGCCCGGCCACGCCAGGAGTGCCGACATCTTTTTCCTCGATCCCAAGCTGACGTACGGGTTTCGGGTCATCCCCAAAGCTCGCGGGACCGCGGGACCGCCGTCTGAGGCCCAAACAGCTGGTCCAGGTATGACCGATTGTTTTAGATTGTGTACGCTTTTTGTTGTTGTTTTTTTGCTAAATGGAGCTACGGAAGTAAGATCCTGGTGACATTTAGGTGAAGGGCTGAGTGGATCCGCCATCGCAGGACTCGCAGCTGGAATCCCCTGCGGCCTTCTCCTCCTGGTCCTGCTGGGGGGCTTCATCTACTTGTGCGTCTACTTGCACAAGAAAAAAAGTATGTGGCTGCTTAGCAAACGGAATCCCGACCGAGCCTTTAGACGAGGGGACGTGTTGACATTCTGTAATTTCTGTTTTTTGTAGGTCGGCAGACGAGATATCCGAAGCCCAGAGCAGTTGAGAAGGTATTTGCTGATCGTCGTGGTGGAGAATAAAATCCACACCATACTTTGCATATCGTGCATGAGATTCAGCATGTATTCATCCATGAATGTGGGGCCAGGTGAACCCTGCGTTTCGTGGGTTTTAGTGACCTTCTTGTCGTCCACAGGCAGTGACGGCTCCGGCAGAACTTACTCCTCATAACCTGCTGACGGGGGGGCTGAGGTCTCCTCCTGATTACAACCGTTTGCAGCAGGTCCTCTTTCTAATACAACACGTCAGAGTGGGATGTTGTTTCTTTTGCAGGTTTACAGTATTTTATTTGCCGTGTTTTCTTTCTCAGACCCCCTCCGAGAGATCGGCGGCTCTGCCAGCTTTTGTCCCTGCCCCCCCCGTCAGGACCGCTACAATTGTCTAAGCTCTGCACATTCACTGTGGTGTATATAATGCTGTACTTTTAAGTGTTTTATTGCAGTCTATGATAGTCCTCTGTATATGTATTTTAAACAAATTGGATTGAGTCAAATGTTTTTCAGTTCAGATTTTATAACTTTATTTATAATAAATATAATAATTTATAATCCAAAGTTCAAACCACGCCTCAAGTTATTTAGCTAAGGAGACCAACAAGCTCAAATGTTTCCTTTAGGGTTAATCAGATCAAAAGTTTGTTCCATGTGGCCAAATTGTGCCTTCTCCATAGATTCAAAAGCTATAGACCGAAAGAATCATTTCGGGGTGTACTCAATCCCCTCGTTCAAATATTTTTACTGGGGCTTTTATTCAGTTATTAACCAGAGGATACATTTTAAGCCAAGTGTTGAGAAACGACTCCTCTGGTGTTTCTTTACGGGAACAGAAGCTGAAGCAGAGGCCCGTGGAGGGTTAACCGATAAGATCAGGGGTCTGTTTTGAAAACCGGGTTTAGTGGAAACTCAAGAGTTTTTTAACCCTGAGATGAGGGGGAAACTCTGGCTTGTCTGCTTCACAAAGGGAGGTAACTAAAGCTCCGGGTCCGTCTCCATGGTAACTGAGCCTGTGAACATCACCTGGTCTGGAGCAGGTTTAGAGTTTCTTTCAATCTCCTCCCTCTGACAGCAGCCCAGCCAATCACACACACATATGATCAAATGGTGTCTATGAACAAAATGTTAAATACTAAAGTGTTTTCTTGAACATGGCACGTCCTTCTCTGGACGATCCTGTTGATGAAGCAGTTTTACTTCGCAGGGTGTTGAACACGTGAGAGAATATTGAGGCCCCGATTTATGAGGGGCCGTTTAGGACTTAACTAATAAATACTCTTGCACATCTCACTGGTGTGTGTGAGTGAAATCTCACTGGCATGCGGAAGCATCTCAGTCACACTGGAAAGCGGAAGCAAAGAGGGCGGGTTTTGAACAGCGAAAAGCGGCAATCTTACGTCCTTCCTTAATATGCTTGTAAATCCGGACTCGCCCGTCTTTATATAGGTCCAAGGTTATTAATACTACCATATTTAAGTGACAATCTAATTTTAGGACTTTTTCAGACTAGAAGTTAGTTTAAGCAACATTTCTGCGGTCGTCGCCTCAGATGTTTCTATTGTGATGATTCTCATGCACTTGTCTGCGCAGCAGATGGTGCTGCAGTGCGACAGACGTCCCGTCCCACTAGCATTAGGGGCTATTAGTAAAAAGGACCTTTCTAGCACTTATGTGTATCCAATATGCTGCAGTCACTGTTTTTTATTTAACTAATACTAATAAGTTGCATAATGGTAAAGTCTCAATTCAACCCATCAAAAACTCAGAAACACAGGACTGGTAAAAGGATCATACCTCCTCGTCCCGTAATCAAATACCGTGGACATCGGACAACATCAACAAACCTGCCACCCAAAACTAATTGTTACTGTGCATATCGGGAAAAGAAATCTCCTTTTTCACATGGTGATAGTTTAAGCATGGCAGTTTTTTAGCGGCCCAAACCGCACGCTCTGCACCTTCCACATTTCCGCTGCTGTGTGTGAGACATTGCACAAGTCTGCATCCTTTCCCACGGCACCCATTGGTCACGTCTTGCCATCGCATTCTGTTGTTTTCCTCTTTTAGTTCAGATGCCTTTTAGTTTATCTCTCCAGACAAGAGAATGGTTCACTGATGGTAATACTGAGACTTCAGATGGAACATGAACGGTGGATTCTTCATATCTCTGAATTCTATGAGCGCACACATCTTCATGTTCACTGTCTGACAGCACAATGAAAACACTCAGTCAACGCCGTGGGTACAGTGTGAGAACTGCCTATTCTATGTCAGAGTGTGTTTCCTCTTTTGAATACAGATCTAAAAGATTGTACTCGACATGCTGATACCACATGGTTGGGTTTGACCCTTTTGGCAGCATTTCATCAGACATTACATGCACAAATCGGTGTCTAAAATCCTGTTACACCTTAATAAAACATGTCTGAACAACACATTGCATTCCCAAATCCCGATCGGTCATGAATGCTGATTCTCTTTTAATCAGCGTAGAAGGTCCCGGGGCCCGCAGTGACGCGTTCATTACGACGACGACACTAATGTAAAATGTTCCCCAGTTGCCTTCTGCGAGCTACTAACCCCATGAGTAAGCCCGGTTGGTCCTGAGGGTGAATGCAGACTAAACAGCACAATACCTGTGTGCGGTGGTCAGAGGTCCAACAGGGCAGAATCCTCTGAATATTAACGCCGACCATGTGACATGCAATTAGCCTCGCTTGAACCACTTAAATACCCCCCCCCCCCATCCCCCTTTGTGACTGTTTTGACATGGTGTTGTCAAGCCGAGTAAATGATGTCGATGCGTGCCAAACTAATACGAGTAATGCTAATACTTTAGGTAATGTAGGTGTTAATTCTCTAAGTTGTTTTTGGTTTATGTTTGAAGTATTGGACTCAACAGCCCAACTTCAGTACATATTCAGAGGGCGCAGGTGAAGCGCTCACAGTGTGTCTGTGCCTGTGTGTGTGTGTGTGTGTGTGCCCATGACAAACACCCCAGCGACCCTGAAAGGAAGTGTGCGCTTCAGCATGTTCCATTGACCACGGCAGTACTGCCAGCCTCTGCACATCCACGGTTCCAGAACGCCGAGTAGAACAACAGACATGGAGCGGCCTCCCATCCAAGACCCTCCCCCATCTCCATCTAACGCCATCACCCCCTCCCCTCCCCGCCCCCCCTTCTCCCCTACGTAAGCCCAGTGTAAAAGCGTCACGTGGATTTTGTCCCGGCAGCTGAAGTGCATTTGTTCTGTTTTGATTGTTTTTAAAGGATTCTGCCTCCATCAACAGAAAAGTGGAGGGGATAACTTTTTGGAATTCAGCCTGGGGCTTCCTCTTTGACGTCGCGCTCACTCCCAGCCTGCACTCTCCCTCTTTGCCCTGAGGAAAGGCTGATACTTGAGTGGGTTGATTTATCCTGAGGAATTCAGGTAAGATGATGCCGTTCTGCGGATGGCTGATGTCACTTTGATGGTGCGAATAAGGAGCTAATGTCATAAAGTTGAATGCATGTCATGGAACGCTATAACCGACCTCACTGGCTTCACTGTGAGGTTCTGCATTTGTTTGAGTTGGATTGGTTGTTTCCTTCAAAGTCTGGAGCATCACAAAATCCCAAGAATTATTTTTACAAACGTCCCGATGCTTTCCCCGTGGGGGTTTTAGATTTATCTGGCTCTTATCACGTGTGATAAATGGTGCTCGGACCCTCCACCTGGTTCCCAGATGTTTGTAATGAACTGCTGTGTCACATCACTGTGTTTGGATTAACAGTCTGGGCAGCAGCTACGTGCATGTAGTGCAGGGGGTGTTGCATTGTCTACATAAGGTGTGAGGTGTTGGACTCATTCACCCTAAAATGCATTGCTTTATGTTTGCTTCTAGTGTTATTGTTCTCTTCATTATATAGTGAGTTGACTGTGGTGTTCTTGGATATTTTCTGATTTATGTGGTTGGACCACAAAAATCCTCATATTTTGGCTCAAAGAAAAACCTCCATTTACACCTGTGGCCAGTTATTTTGTGGCACACACTCCTTTGGGCCCATTCCCATCGCCTGGATCCATCACCCACTGAATACACATCAAAACCAAAAGCTACAAGGTCCTTTATAGAATGACCATATTCACTGCCATGTTCTCATTTATTTTCTGCACAGCACTTAAGCCTTGAACGCTGTCACAGTGTCACTCATGATGCACAGCTTCATGGGAGGGGGCCTCTTTTGTGCCATCGTGGGGAACATCCTGTTGGTGGTGTCCACAGCCACAGACTACTGGATGCAGTACCGCCTGTCCAGCAGCTTTGCCCACCAGGGCCTGTGGAGGTACTGCATGTCGGGCAAATGTTACATGCAGACTGACAGCATTGGTGAGTATGAAATATCACCTAAATATTCCCCCGAGGCCCAGCAACTCTCCCCTTAGTCTAGGTTTACTCATCTGAATATAACGATTATGTGAAATTACCATACATTTTTCAGGCTTGGATTTTGCATTAACAGCGGAGAAAATATAATATAGTTGCAATATAGAGATGTTCTCTCTGGACCATAATTACCTGTAAATAAGATGTTTGCGTTATACCTTAGAATGAGCCGTTCATATATCTGCATACGAATAGGGTTGTCTTCATGGAGCCGGCCGCCAAGTTTCTTTCATGGCCAAGAACAGACAGCCACCAAATCCCCTTCACTACTCAGCTGAATGAAATGTAATGCAACCACTGAGCCTCTAACAAGAGTCCACAGCCACGCTGTACTTCTGCACAGTGGTGTTTTGAGCTGAATGCTAATGTTGGGACGACGTTGGGATTTGGGTGCTTGTCCAGACGGAAATAAGCTGTAAGGTGTATTTTAATGCACATACATGTAGATTTATAACCTTTTCCATTCCTTCTTTGTACCCCTCCTCAGCCTACTGGAACGCCACTCGTGCTTTCATGATCCTCTCTGCCATGTCGTGCTTTGCTGGCATCATCGCAGGAATCCTCTCCTTCGCCCACTTCTCGGCCTTTGAGAGGTTCAACCGCTCTTTTGCTGCTGGGATCATGTTCTTTGTTTCAAGTGAGTCCTGCATACGGCACATTCACATTCACCATTCTGCTCTAATGTCCCATTCATTTTCTCTTTTTACATCACACCTGCCACAGATGATCTTTTGCATTAGGGGGATTTTCATACTGTGTAATTATCAGCCAAATGTTAGTAGCTTTACAGCAGGTCCACTCTGTGACTTCCAACTGAGATGATCTTTACTGGCCCGGATGTTTGCTCTAATGCATGTCACTATCTGCCTGTCCCGCCAGCCCTCTTTGTTCTGCTTGCTATGGCCATTTACACTGGAGTGACTGTGAACTTCCTGGGCAAGCGCTTCGGGGACTGGCGCTTCTCTTGGTCCTACATTCTAGGCTGGGTGGCACTGCTGATGACCTTCTTTGCAGGTTTGTTAATAAAAGAGAGCAGCAGATGTCTTCCTGCTAGTAACCAAAGACGAGTTATGAGTATGTGAATATTACACACAGTTAGCGCCAACCAGGAAAAGAAGTTAATAATGAAGATTCTCAAATCATCAATTCAATGCTGTCAAGGGAACATTTTTTTTGTAGAAATCACCTCTGTGTTAAGTGCTACCTGACCTGTTTTGTTTTTGCAGGTATATTCTACATGTGTGCCTACAGGATGCACGAGTGCAGAAGAGTGGCTGGCCCACGTTAAAGTAAACAGGAGATAATGTTAAAAAAGAAAATCCATTCCCTGTCCAAAATTGAGAATTTATTGTAAAATAATAAAATTTGGATTTTACAAATGCATCAAACATGTCTTACATTTTTTTTATTTTTTTTATTTAACCTTTATTTAACCAGGTAAAAGTCCCATTGGGATCGAGATCTCATTTTCAAGGGCGACCTGGCCAAGAAGGCAGCAGCACACATCGTTAAAAATCAGCCATAAAATACACATGACATGAGTAAAACCACAATACAAGGACGTTCTGGAGTACAGGTCCACGCGACCAGTGCAAGAATGACAGGAGTAAGGCAAGGAGAAGCTTCGTTGTCAAACGGTTCGTAAGTGAACCGGCCGTCGCCTCCAGCTGAACTCAGTGAGTCGTATTTAATAAAAAACGTCCATAAAAGCGAAGTTTTACAAGAGACAACACGGGGGAGACCTGAGCAGTTCAGGTGACCAAATAGACATTACACATTTAGGATCGTTAAAATGGGTTTTAAACACCGTTGGTTAACGGGAGAAAACAAAACAAACAAACAGACGTATGTGCGGCTATAAAAGTTCTGAGGTATCAGGGGACAGAATCTTATAATATAAATACAGTAGGCCCTGGGTATAAGTTTGTTAAAAATGGAGGGATCACAGCAGTGCCATTAATGAATATTTCATTAACGAGTAAAATCATGATTTCAAAATCTGAAAGTGATAAAAACAAGTCAAAATTTTAATTAAAAAAGAGTTGCTTTTGAATGAAAATACATGTGTTGGTTAGTAAGCTAGGATGACTAATTAGTTTACCGTTTGCTCCCGCGGTCCACCGCACATGCATGGTGACCCAACGTTACGTTTTTTCCAATGGCAGCCAATCTACCGGCACTGCCTTGGCGATCAACCTATTGGGCACCCCTGGTCTAACCACTCAATCACGTACTCCAATTACATCTTAACACTCAGATGAACGTCACTCTGACTCCAGGTGAAAGCTCACCGTGACCTCACAACCTGGTCTCTGCAGATTTGGTCCAAACACACACACAGAAAACAGAGACTTCAAATTCACTGTGACCCATCAAAAAAAACACTGTTTCAATCTTACCCAAAAATATAGTACCGGAAAAAAATGGACATTCAATGGACATTGTTATTTTATTATTTTATTTTAGAGGCAGTGTATCTCAAGAAAGAACTCAATAAAGGGAAAGAACGTGTGGAAGAGGAACGATCCGTCAATGCTCTCCTCAAAATTAAATTGACCATGGGGCAGGAAAAAAATAACATTGTTAAAGAACTAAAGATCGAGTTAGATCAACAAGATGAGGACTCCGAAGAGTTGATTGAGAGAATCACGAGTCCTCGGGACGAAATTAAATCCCAGAATTGGAAACTGCCCTCCCTTGAGAAGGAATTGTGCAAGGAGAGGGAGAGGTGCAAAAAGCTGGTGGCCTATCAGCAGCGTTTCAAGGTGGAGCGGTTCAAAACGTTCAAAAGAAGTGTGATCGATCTGAAAATAAAATTCACCGACAATAACAACCTCATAGTGCTGAAAGGGATGGAATCTGAGAGGAAAGTTATCCGTATTTTGCAATATAAGGACAAGAAACTCGTCGATGTAAAGTCCCGCCAGGTGCTGGTTGAGAGGAGACGGTTTTATAAGAAATGTGGGGAAATCAGCGACAACACCAAGGCACTGAATGAGCAGACTGCTTTGATACGGAAACTTCAGGAACAGATCAAAGAGACAAAGCAGGACGGAATGACACATAGAAAGCAAGAACAGATCAAAGAGACCCATGGACCAGATCCTAAGTTGCCAAAAACGCAAAAAATTGTCAAAGGTGAAAGGGTGGTTCACGAGGAAGGGTGCAGCACGCAACAAAGTTTACCCATCAGCTTCAAAGGAAACCACAACCAGTAAACCCACGCGCTTGGATGAAGATGACACACCTAGTGCACCTTTCTGTCCAGATTCCCCGGCAACATCCAAAGAGCCATGCCGGGGAATTGTCATACATGTGATTCCTGCTGTGAAATCTAACCGGCCCATGACCCATTAACATCCTTGACATCGGCGCCGTTTGGCTCAATGCATTGATTGTATGAGGCCATTTGTGGTTGATGGTGTTCCAACTGTTTATGTAACGTCTGGCTCACTGGACACTTCCCATCGCTTGTTGTACAGGTTGAGAGGCCAGAAACCAGGGAAAGCTTTTAGAGATGTGTTTAAATACAAAGTTAAAGATTGGTGGAAAGGTTCAGCTTGGATTTATAGATACATGACACAGTCCTATAGACTGTTATTTATGTAAAAAAAAACAAAAATACATGTTTACTAATGCGCTCACTTTGTGCTCCAATAGCTACTGCCAATTCAGTTTCAACAACAAAATAAATGTAAACAATAATACAATCAACAAAACATGTCACACTACTAAAGTAAAATACTTGTAAATACAGCATCTCATTGTATTGAGCATTAGCGCAGTAGAAAATGTGAAAACTGCTCATCATTGATGTTATTATTGTTAATATGCACTTTAACTTGATCAAAATATCTTAGCAGACCAATAAACTCTTAAACAAAGAACATAATGCCTTTAATCTGAATGTCCATAGCTGACAAACAAGAAAACACCCATTTAACAGAGGAAGGAAATACTTTGAAAACTTCACACAGCATTTAGATCTGTGGTCTACTTATGCATCCCTCTCTTGTCTTTGAATTTAACCTGAGCATATTCACTTCCCACCTCTTTCTTTACATTCCTGGGCCCCACGTTGCCATAGAGACCTTCCATCTCCAGTGCGCTGCTCACAAAGCCTCTGAGCGTTCCTCCCGCCGTGCACATCTCCTCCTCCAGATACGAGCCACCCGGCTGGAGACTCTCCTCCGAGGCCTCGGCCTTCTTCTGGCTCCTGGTCCTCCAGTTCACAGTCGAGTAAACCACATCTTTGCCCTCCTCACTGGTCTTCTCTGAGCCTCTGCTGGCTCCTTCTGCGTTGTTTGGTAACTATACAATTACAGAGAAAACATCAGTGCCAAACATGCTCTGCTGATCCGGTCCAACTGAAGTAGAACAGCGTCCTGGGAGGGTACCTCCTGTCCCTCTCCACCTAGAAGAGGGCCTGCAGTCACCGTGCTGGTGTCCCCGGTGCACTGACTCCTCAGGCGGTCATGGTGGGTCTTCTGAGCCCTGGAAAGTACAGTCCAACGTCTGTCTCACAATCACATGTGTGTATGTGAGTCTTCTCTGTTTTGTTTATTACAGAGGAAGCTGCAATAAAATAGTCTCACAGGACAGGATGTAAACTTTAGTGTTGACTGTTATGTGTTACATGTTGATGTCACCTTACCTGATCACAAACAGCAGAGCACATACTAGTACAAGTAGAGCGACGACCACACTGATGAAAACTGTCAACATCACTCGGTCTGAAACGTGAGGACAATGAAAGATCATCGTTTGTTCGGATGAAACCTCAGAGATGCCGTCAAAAAATTCAGCTTAAACAGACTCTAAAGCAGCGATTCCCTGGTGGGCCGCGAAGGTACTGCAGGTGGGCCGCGAGAGGTCATTTACAATAAATAAATAAAGTTCTATAATTTTCAATTTTTAAAAGTTTGAAATTAATGTAAAAATATTTATGATGCAGCACATTAGTTATGTGAAACATTAGTTGATGAAGCACAAACATTTTAAATGGACAGATTAATAAAACAATAAGGCTCTCGCTCGAAAACGGCTGCTCTTGTCCGCCTGTCGTTGTTAACAAACGGGACGGCCTCTTGTAGTATTAAAGTAAATATACCGCTTTTTCCGCACTCCAAGGCGCACTTACAAGGCTTTAATTTCCTCAAAAAACGACAGTGCCTTATAATCCGGAGCGCCTTATATATATGGATTAATTGGTTAATCGGTTGCTCCATACTGGTTGTACACGGCGCTCAAGGCGCTCTGCCAAACATGCCAAAGCTCGGTCTACGACGGCGAGATGCTCTTGTGTGTCTCTAGTTGTGTTGAGAGTCTGGTACCCGTGTCTCTGCATGAAATGTACTTTTGTTACTAAGAACTGTGTTCTTCCCCAATAAGTCACATTGGGGTGTTTAAGGAAGTCTACATGGGCCACTGATGGTAAAGTTAAGCCAAAAAAGAGAAGTATCACCAGCATTAATGTTTTTCTATAACGCTCTGGGCCTCACCTCCTAACTAAAGCACTAAAGTGTTCCATCTAACAGCCTGTATAGTATTTCTGAAAATAAAAAAAAATCCAACGACCACCTAATACACTTCTCTCAAGTTGTCAGTGCACATGATACAGACCTGGACTCTGAGCAGACTTCTGAGGCTCTGAGCTGCCGACACAAAACCGCTGAGTAGCAGATCCCCGAGAGTTCACGCTGCGGCAGAGCAGCGAGGAAAGACCCGCCTCCTGCCGTCTATTCACCGTGATGATGCTCCGCGTGGTCGTGTCATTTAGACGCTCGCTGCTTACTGAAAGCTCCTCGGAGTGATTGACAGGTGACCCGTTCAGATACCAGCGTACAGTGGGAGGAGGATTTCCCAGAGTCCAGCAGGAGCAGTTGAGCTGGTCTCCAGCTGTGATGCAGTCGGATGAGAGCAGGATCTGTGCTGCATCTGTACAATATATAAAATACAGTTAGACTCCAGTAGTTCAGCTTAGCTTAGTTTTACCTGTGACTCAACTTGCTTAAATAATAAATAAGGAGATGAATAGTTTATTTTATTAAACGGCAGATTTACCAAAAATAGATTTCAATCAATTTACTGAAATAAAGCTTTACATCAAATAAAAGAAACGTGATCCTCACATTGAACTTCTATGTGTGTGTTGTTGGATCGTCCAACTCCAACATCATTGTGAGCCGTGCAGAGAAAAGGACTGTCTTCTTTAGAGGCTTTAATGGTGAGAACACGTCCCGTCCCAATAAAAGTCTCCTGTTCTCCATCCGCTCTGTACCAGGTGTAGTTCTTCACTGCTGGGTTAGCAGTACTACTGCATGTCAGAGTCACACTACTGTCCTCTAGTACTGGACCAGAGGGACAGACTGACACTGTGGTGACTTTGGGGGAATCTGAGGAATCAGTAATGAAACACAACCAATTAATATGTAAAAATATCTATTCAATCAGTGTATCGGGGTCCAGATGATATACAGTATCCTTCAAACGTGATCCTCACATTGAACGTCTATGTGTGTGTTGTTGGATCGTCCAACTCCAACATCATTCTGAGCCTTGCAGAGAAAAGGACTGTCTTCTTTAGAGGCTTTAATGGTGAGAACACGTCCCGTCCCAATAAAAGTCTTCTGTTCTCCATCCGCTCTGTACCAGGTGTAGTTCTTCACTGCTGGGTTAGCAGTACTACTGCATGTCAGAGTCACACTACTGTCCTCTAGTACTGGACCAGAGGGACGGACTGACACTGTGGTGACTTTGGGGGAATCTGGAGGATTAAATTATTTGTAAATTTTCTAGATGTAACATTGTATTGAAAACACGGCAGATTATGTAGAGAGAGAAAAGGAGAGAGAACACACTTCATCGTTTCAAAAAACCTCAATTTAAATCTACTTAATTTCTTTCACAATCCAGTGTTGATAGTGGATAACATTTAAACCGAGGGGTCTGTTTCGTAAAATGACAATTTTGACCCTTAACCCGGAACTGCAACTAAGAATAATTTGTGTCATAATTTCTTTTTTATAGTGAGCTAATTAATGGTTTAGTAAAATCTACCAATGCTGAAAAATACCAAAAAAAATATTCTAAAAGTAAGAGAGGCTTCTCCAAACAGCCTGTTGTCCTCCAAACAGATGAAACACTAAACACATTCAATTTATAAGAGTGAAAAAAAGTGACTAAAGCAGCAAATCCTTAAGTGTGATACAATTACATCTTTTTTACCTTTAATCTGATTTAATCATTGATACATTTTAAAATAGTTTACTACTATTATTCTTTCACATGACCAAAGGATTATTAAACTAATTATTTCAGCCCTGAATTTGAATCAAGTGAAGAAAGTTAACTAATGAGATCATTTTAATTAAAATATCTATGAAAACAATTAATGAGGATGAATGAACTCACATGAAACATCAGCTGTTAAAGTAGCAGCTGACTCAGCGCTTCCATTCTGTTTGTGGTAGGAGGCCTCACAGGAGATTGTCTCTCCATGATGCTTGTGAGAGGCAGTGAAGGTCACATAAGAGGTCAGGACTTTGGTTCTGTCCTCATTCTCCTGCAGTGTCTCCACAATGTCCCCCAGGCCTTTGGTCCATGTCACAGTTGGAGGATGAGACAGACATGGAGCTGGAGCAGAGCAACTCAAACTCACTGAGGCTCCCTCCTCCACCTTCAGAGCTGACGGAGTCAGAGTCGGTCTGGGAGGAACATCTGGTGAGAAGGTCCATTTGAACGTCACTAAAGCGTCACTTCTACATTTTATTCACTACTTGCCAAATTAAATGAATGCAAAACAAGTTAAAGGAATCTGTGTAAGATAAATGAATAAGTGAAATTTAAATAAAACAGACTTTAATACCTTTGACTGAAAGAAGAACTTTTTGATAAGCAAAATCATATTTTAGACCGTTGTCACATTCCAACCTGAACAAATAATCATAGTTGCCAGCAGGTTGAATGTTGTTCAGGGTTGTGGTGCAGGTTTTTTTTGTCAAGTCTCCTGTCAGTTCTCCATCATTTAAACTTGTTTGTGGATCTTTGCTGTTAAACACAACATTTTTCCAACCATGTTTCCATATTGCTCTACATGTGTCATCTAGATTTGATTCATATTGATCTTCTATCTCAAAGGAGCAGGGGATGGTCACACAGGATCCTGTAAGAACCTCTATAGTCTGCGGCACAAATCCCTTAAACTCTTTACTCTGAGCACCTGAAACACAAGAAACAAATCATGAATGAGAACAGTTGAATAAAACTTTTTAAAGTCACGATTAATATTTACTGCTTGGTTACCTCACTAAAATCTTAACAAAATACCTCATTCTTATAACAATCTAAAATAATGACTAAGGATTCTGTGATAATTTCTAAGGACATTTTTAAGAAAATGTATTAAAAAAGCAGCAGAACACTTTAGCTGCTCACTGTGTCCTTCTGTTGCTGCAGCATATATTACACATACTGTTGTACTGTGGTGTGAATTCTTCACTAACATTGTGTGCATTGTGTATTTTTAATACTCAATGATCCAGATGTGAATGCAGTGCAGCTCACCTTGCAGCAGAGAACCAATGAGAAGGAGAGTCAGAGCTGCAGCCATCTTTGTGAGTCAGGAGAGGCAGAAACTCTGGAGATTACACATGAAACAAGCCACATGTTTAGAGCATTTAGAGGTTATTAAAGGTGTTTAAAGTAGGGTTTATTCATGAGGCTCTACAAAACACTTGCAAAAGTTCTGTTGGAGAAATTTTTTACTGAGTCTATAATTCATTATGATATTATCAATATGATGGTTCAGCAAATGAGTTTTCTGGGTTTCTGAACCACTGAAACTCATCTCAATCCCCCTAAAATTAGAATATTTTAAGTGTCTCAAAATCTTACAAAATAAAAAAATTAAATTAAACATTAATATTTTAATTATTTTAGATATTTTTATGTATACATTTAAAAAACTTGGTGACGAAGCTATTCAACAAAACAGGAATGATTTACTAGTTATATTTATTGTGTGAAAGAAACAAATTATTTGTGTTGCTTCGTAATATTCAGTCTGTCACTGAAACACACGCTACTTTTTTAACACGCCATAGAAGGTGAAATGATGAAATGCAAAAACAGGAAGATAAATGCTAAAAGCTACAACGACAAAGACACAGTGTCCTTTAATTTGTCTTCAAATATACTTAATAAGCCATTGTTTTAGGCCAATCTACTCAAGAGTAACAATTTCCAAAACCACAATCAAACGGCTTAAAGGTTATAAAATCTTCCACCTATTCACATTTTTCTTTTTATTCCTTTTAAATTGTTCATTGTTTTAAAGTTTAACTAAGGATTACGTAGTAAGTGTTTTTCATTTGAAATCAGTTTTGATGATTTTTAATTGTCCTAAAAAGATCTGATGACTTACATTTGTTTTCGTCCTTCGAACAGATCGATGAAAGATGTGCAGAGAAATGCAGTTCCTTAAAAGATGTGTTGCTTTTTCAAACAACGACAAGACGTGTAAATGAGGAAGTCACTAAAGCCACATGTGTGGGAGTTTGAAATAAACTGATCTAATTTATAAGAGTATATTCACACAGTCCCACATGCTTCTTGGTTAAAGCTATTTTTAACATCACACATCTTTATTCCAAATATTCAGTCGTTTTGCCTCAATGTAACTAAATGTTTGCATTTCCAACTTGGTAAAGTTATTTTTTGCAAATGATGAAGACACAACAAAAACATTTAAATAGCCTTTATTGATTAAGCAATAAGCACAGTTATTATAAAACACTGACACTTTTAAGCTTTATACTGAAGTCTCACTGATTAGAAAGATTAGTTTTTACAATCTACAAACTGAGCAATAAATCTGGATTAATAAAATGATGACATGGATTCACTCAACTTTCCTGTGATAATTAACAAATAACATGAAAAAACTGTAAAAAGCTCCTGCAACCACGTAAATTATTAAATGGGTTAAAAAGGGTCAAAGCACATTCTTCCTCATTCTAATCAATTCAACACTGAAGTCTCATTTGATTTCATGCAACACGTATCAAATGCATGTAAAGGAAGTAAAGCTGCATCCATGTGAACATCAGTGACACAAAGTGAAACATAATACAGCACTGTTAATCATTGTCACGTATGATGGACAAAGAGTCATAAATCATTTCATAATGTGGAAGAGTCCAACTCAACAGTGAGAGACGAGTTCACTCAGTCCATTCGTCTGCTGTGTTGATGACATACATGGTTTCTATGTACTGTACCTTTAAGAGACAAAATACACCTTTAAATACAACGCAGCACGATACAAAAGTCGCAAAAACAACAAAAACTACAAAAAAACAAAAACAACACTGACTGAAAATTCACCACAAAGTAAACTGAATGCCTCTTTGATCCAGTTTCAGTAGTCATTTAAAAATATAGTCTCACAAAGGAGGTGTGTTTAGTAACAGTTGTGTATTTTGGCATTCATTTGTGTGTCTGCTCATTTCATTCTGCTCACCTTTTCAAAATATTTAAATGACTTTGTATAGTTTACAAATGCTGGTGAAATACTGATTTAATAACACTCATATCACTAATCACAAGTTGGACTCATAAGAACAACAATGAATCATCATGTCGTTATTTGGTGATTATTAAGATCAGTGGAAGTTGAGTCATCTTGAAGTTTGAGCAATGACGTCATACTCTGGAGATTTGTCTCTGTGATCCAATGACATGTAGGTTTGGTCCACTTCTTCTGGCTTCACGTTCCTCCTGGATTTCCTTTGAGCACAACAGAGAAAAATACCCAAATGTTAATAATATATATATATGTACAATGGATGTGTTCCACCAACAGAGCTTTCATTACAGAACAAGAATCCAGTGGAAGAACATACCAAAGGAACACGATGCAGACTGAGAAAAGGAGGTTCACACTGAGAGAAACACCAGCAACAGCAGAGAGAAGAACTCCACAGGATGATCCACGATCCAGACCTGTCATCAGAAATGGAACAATACTCCACATAATCCCTCTTCAAGTGTTACATTCACACTACAGTGGTCCGGTGGCTGTGTATCAGCCTCAAATCACCAGCATTAACCTAAAGTGTTGCACCACAAAGTAAAAACCTGTTTCTAATACACTTCCCTTAAGTGCACATGATACTGTACAATATATAAAATACAGTTAGACTCCAGTAATTCAGCTTAGCTTAGTTTTACCTGTGACTTAACTTGCTTAAATAATAAATAAGGAGATGAATAGTTTATTTTATTAAACTGCAGATTTACCAATAATGGATTTCAATCAATTTACTGAAATAAAGCTTTACATCAAGTAAAAGAAGTGTGATCCTCACATTGAACGTCTATGTGTGTGTTGTTGGATCGTCCAACTCCAACATCATTGTGAGCCGTGCAGAGAAAAGGATTGTCTTCTTTAGAGGCTTTAATGGTGAGAACACGTCCCGTCCCAATAAAAGTCTCCTGTTCTCCATCCGCTCTGTACCAGGTGTAGTTCTTCACTGCTGGGTTAGCAGTACTACTGCATGTCAGAGTCACACTACTGTCCTCTAGTACTGGACCAGAGGGACGGACTGACACTGTGGTGACTTTGGGGGAATCTGAGGAATGAAGTCATTTGTATATTTTCTAGATGTAACATTGTATTGAAAACTGCAGATTATGAGAGAGGAAAAAAGAAAGACAACACATTTCATCCTTTCGAAAAACCTCAATATAAAGCCATTTCATTTCTTTCATAATCCAGTGTTGATAGTGGATAACATTTAAATCGAGGGGTCTTTTTTGTAAAATGATCATTTTGACCCTTAACCCGGAACTGCAACTAAGAATAATTTGTGTCATAATTTATTTTTTATAGTGAGCTAATTAATGGTTTACTAAAATCTACCAATGCTGAAAAACAGCCTGTTGTCCTCCCAACAGATGAAATACTAAACACATTCAATTTATAACAGTGAAGAAAGAGACTAAAGCAGCAAATCCTTAAGTGTGAGACAAGAGCATCTTTTTACCATTAATCTCATTTAATCATTAATACCTTCTAAAAATAATTCACAACTATTATTCTTTCTTATTACTAAGTGATAGACTAATTATTTCAGTTCTGACTATGAATCAAGTGAAGAAAGTTAAGCGATGAGATCATTTTAATTAAAATATCTATGAAAACTATAAATGATGATGAATGAACTCACATGAAACATCAGCTGTTAAAGTAGCAGCTGACTCAGCGCTTCCATCCTGTTTGTGGTAGGAGGCCTCACAGGAGATTGTCTCTCCATGATGCTTGTGAGAGGCAGTGAAGGTCACAACAGAGGTCAGGACTTTGGTTCTGTCCTCATTCTCCTGCAGTGTCTCCACAGTGTCCCCCAGGCCTTTGGTCCATGTCACAGTTGGAGGATGAGACAGACATGGAGCTGGAGCAGAGCACCTCAAACTCACTGAGGCTCCCTCCTCCACCTTCAGAGCTGACGGAGTCAGAGTCGGTCTGGGAGGAACATCTGGTGAGAAGGTCCATTTGAACGTCACTAAAGCGTCACTTCTACATTTTGTTCACTATTTGCCAAATTAAATGAATGCAAAACAAGTTAAACAAATCTCTAATGAGTGAAATGTTAATAAACACATTACCTGTGACTGAAATTGTAATTGTTTGTTTAAAACTATATTTTAGTTTGTTGTCACATTCCAACCTGAAGAAATAACTATTGCTGCCAGCAGGTTGAATGTTGTTCAGGGTTGTGGTGCAGGTTTTTTTTGTCAAGTCTCCTGTCAGTTCTCCATTATTTAAACGTGTTTGTGGATCTTTGCTGTCAAACACAAGAGTGTCATCGTTGAACCATTGTGCTCTACATGTGTCATCTAGGTTTGATTCATGTTTATCTTCTATCTCAAAGGAGCAGGGGATGGTCACACAGGATCCTCTAAGAACCTCTATTGTCTGCGGCACAAATGCCTTAAACTCTTTACTCTGAGCACCTGAAACACAAGAAACAAATCATGAATAAGTTTAAAGTCACGATTAATATTTACCGCTTGGTTACCTCACTAAAATCTTACAATCAAAAATAACAACTCTAAAGATTCTGTGTTCATTTCTAAAGATGTATTCAAAGAATATCTATTAAAAAGCAGCTGAACACTTTAGCAGCTCACTGCATCCTTCTATTGCTGCAGCATATATTACACATACTGTTGTACTGTGGTGTGAATTCTTCACTAACAGTGTGTACTTGATGCTTTTAGATTATTTTAATACTGAATGATCCAGATGTGAATGCAGAGCAGCTCACCTTGCAGCAGAGAACCAATGAGAAGGAGAGTCAGAGCTGCAGCCATCTTTGTGAGTCAGGAGAGGCAGAAACTCTGGAGATTACACATGAAACAAGCCACATGTTTAGAGCATTTAGAGGTTATTAAAGGTGTTTAAAGTAGGGTTTATTCATGAGGCTTTAATGAATAAAACAGTTGCAGAGGTTCTGTTGGAGAAATGTTTTGCTGAGTCTATATTTTATTATGTTTGTATTATGTTTCTGCAAAACTACTCGTCCCTCCCTCACTGAGAGCAAAACACTCGACTAGGTCTCGACTCTTCGCTGTCCTTGCGCCGAAATGGTGGAACGCGCTCTCTGAAGACATCAGGACCGCAGAGAGCCTTCACATCTTCCGCCGCAAACTAAAGACACACCTCTTCAGACTCTACCTCGACTAAAGACTAACAAATTGTAGCACTTAAATTGTACTTGTGACGTCACTCATCTATAGCAAATTGTAAATTCGCTTATTTGAGGAAATTACACTTTCTTGTTTCTTGTTCTCCTGAGTTTGTACCCTATGGTTGAATGCACTTATTGTACGTCGCTTTGGATAAAAGCGTCAGCTAAATGACATGTAATGTAATGTAATATTATGATATTATTAATATGAAGGCTCAGAAGAAGTGATTCTGGGCTTCTGAACCACTGAAACTCAGCTGAATCCCTCCAAAATTAGACATCTCACACACAATTGAACAATTAAGTTAAACATTACTAATAAAAACATTATATATTATATTGTGGCATCACAAGTGCTGGAATGGTGCTGGGTGTTACTTCCCCTTTAAGGGGCTGCAGCCAGCTTACAAGATGGCTGCTGCGGAGGAAACTACATCTCCCAGAAGGCCTCAGGAAGGACTCACACAGGTGGAGGTGTTTAGGCCCCTGATTAAGGCTGAACTTAAGGACGGAGAGGCCGAAGGAAAGGAGGAATGTACGAGGAGGAACCAGACTGGAAGGATTCAAACTAGAAGGAACTCGCGGCAAAGACTACGCCCGGTTTAATTGTTTAGAATGATTAAGAGCTTGTTATCTCCTCCGGGACGCTTTGGGTTGTTCGTGTTGTTTGGATATTTATTTTTGCTAGAAACAACATACATGGGTTGGTTGTGGTACGAGAGAATAAAGCTTTTTTTGCCTTCATTTGCAACTCTGGCGTTTCTGGTCAACTCGCATGCACTGCTCCACCCTGCTGTAAGGGGCCACCGGTCACCTTACTAATACATATATATATATATATATATATATATTTGTTTTTTTACTTTCATGAAACTTGGTGATGAAGATATTCAACAAAACTGAAATGATTTAGTAGTTATATTTATTGTGTGAGAAAAACAAATAATTGTTTGTGTTACTTCATAATATTCAGTCTGTCACTGAAACCACACGCTGCTTTTTCAACACGCCATGGAAGGTTAAATGATGAAATGGACAAACAGGAAGATGAATGCTAGAAGTCACACCGACAAAGACAGATTGTCCTTTAATTTGTCTTCAAATATACTTAATAAGCCATTGTTTTAGGCCAATCTACTCAAGAGTAACAATGTCCAAAACCACAATCAAACGGCTTAAAGGTTGTAAAATGTTCCACCTATTCACATTTTTCTTTATATTCCTTTTAAATTGTTCATTGTTTTAAAGTTAAATAAGGTTTACGTAGTAAGTGTTTGTCATTTTTTAAAATCAGTTTTGATGATTTTTAATTGTCCTAAAAAGATCTGATGACTTACATTTGTTTTCGTCCTTCGAACAGATCGATGAAAGATGTGCAGAGAAATGCAGTTCCTTAAAAGATGTGTTGCTTTTTCAAACAATGACAAGACGTGTAAATGAGGAAGTCACTAAAGCCACATGTGTGGGAGTTTGAAATAAACTGCACTCATTTATAAGAGTATACTCACACAGTCCCACATGCTTCTTGGTTAAAGCTATTTTTAACATCACACATCTTTATTCCAAATATTCAGTCGTTTTCCCTCAATGTAACTAAATGTTTACATTTCCAACTTGGTAAAGTTATTTTTTGCAAATGATAAAGACACAACAAAAACCTTTAAATAGCCTTTATTGATTAAGCAATAAGCACAGTTATTAGAAAACACTGACACTTTTGAGCTTTATACTGAAGTCTCACTGATTAGAAAGATTAGTTTTTACAATCTACAAAGTGAGCAAGAAATCTGGATTAATAAGATGATAACATGGATTCACTCAACTTTCCTGTGATAATTAACAAATAACATGAAAAAACTGTAAAAAGCTCCTGCAACCACGTAAATTATTAAATGGGTTAAAAAGGGTCAAAGCACATTCTTCATCATTCAAATCAATTCATCACTGAAGTCTCATTTGATTTCATGCAACACGTATCAAATGCATGTAAAGGAAGTAAAGCTGCATCCATGTGAACATCAGTGACACAAAGTGAAACATAATACAGCACTGTTAATCATTGTCACGTATGATGGACAAAGAGTCATAAATCATTTCATAATGTGGAAGAGTCCAACTCAACAGTGAGAGACGAGTTCACTCAGTCCATTCGTCTGCTGTGTTGATGACATACATGGTTCCTATGTACTGTACCTTTAAGAGACAAAATACACCTTTAAATACAATGCAGCACGATACAAAAGTCGCAAAAACAACAAAAACTACAAAAAAACAAAAACAACACTGACTGAAAAGTGACCACAAAGTAAACTGAATGCCTCTTTGATCCAGTTTTAGTAGTAATTTAAAAATATAGTCTCACAAAGGAGGTGTGTTTAGTAACAGTTGTGTATTTTGGCATTCATTTGTGTGTCTGCTCATTTCACTCTGCTCACCTTTTCAAAATATTTAAATGACTTTGTATAGTTTACAAATGCTGGTGAAATACTGATTTAATAACACTCATATCACTAATCACAAGTTGGACTCATAAGAACAACAATGAATCATCATGTCGTTATTTGGTGATTATTAAGATCAGTGGAAGTTGAGTCATCTTGAAGTTTGAGCAATGACGTCATACTCTGGAGATTTGTCTCTGTGATCCAATGACATGTAGGTTTGGTCCACTTCTTCTAGCTTCACGTTCCTCCTGGATTTCCTTTGAGCACAACAGAGAAAAATACCCAAATGTTAATAATATATATATATGTACAATGGATGTGTTCCACCAACAGAGCTGTCATTACAGAATAAGAATCCAGTGGAAGAACATACCAAAGGAACACGATGCAGACTGAGAAAAGGAGGTTCACACTGGGAGAAACACCAGCAACAGCAGAGAGAAGAACTCCACAGGATGATCCACGATCCAGACCTGTCATCAGAAATGGAACAATACTCCACATAATCCCTCTTCAAGTGTTACATTCACACTACAGTGGTCCGGTGGCTGTGTATCAGCCTCAAATCACCAGCATTAACGTAAAGTGTTGCACCACAAAGTGAAAACCTGTTTCTAATACACTTCCCTTAAGTGCACATGATACTGTACAATATATAAAATACAGTTAGACTCCAGTAATTCAGCTTAGCTTAGTTTTACCTGTGACTTAACTTGCTTAAATAATAAATAAGGAGATGAATAGTTTATTTTATTAAACTGCAGATTTACCAATAATGGATTTCAATCAATTTACTGAAATAAAGCTTTACATAAAGTAAAAGAAGTGTGATCCTCACATTGAACGTCTATGTGTGTGTTGTTGGATCGTCCAACTCCAACATCATTCTGAGCCGTGCAGAGAAAAGGACTGTCTTCTTTAGAGGCTTTAATGGTGAGAACACGTCCCGTCCCAATAAAAGTCTCCTGTTCTCCATCCGCTCTGTACCAGGTGTAGTTCTTCACTGCTGGGTTAGCAGTACTACTGCATGTCAGAGTCACACTACTGTCCTCTAGTACTGGACCAGAGGGACGGACTGACACTGTGGTGACTTTAGGGGAATCTGGAGAATTAAATTATTTGTAAATTTTCTAGATGTAATATTGTATTGAAAACACGGCAGATTATGTAGAGATAGAAAAGGAGAGAGAACACACTTCATCGTTTCAAAAAACCTCAATTTAAAGCTACTTAATTTCTTTCACAATCCAGTGTTGATAGTGGATAACATTTAAATCGAGGGTTCTGTTTCGTAAAAGGACAATTTTGACCTTTAACCTGGAACTACAATAAGAATTGTTTGTGATTTCGTTTATCTTTCATTTACTTTCATAATCGAGCCATTATTGTTTGAAACAGTGAAAAAAAGAGACTAAAGCAGCATTTCTTGAGTGTGATACAAGAGCATCTTTTTTACCTTTAATCTCATTTAATCATTGATACATTTTAAAATAGTTCACAACTTTTATTCTTTCTGATTACTAATGAATTAATAAACTAATTATTTCACCTCTGACTATGAATCAAGTCAAGAACGTTAAGCAATGAGATCATTTTAATTAAAATATCTATGAAAACTATAAATGAGGATGAATGAACTCACATGAAACATCAGCTGTTGAAGTAGCAGCTGACTCAGCGCTTCCATCCTGTTTGTGGTAGGAGGCCTCACAGGAGATTGTCTCTCCATGATGCTTGTGAGAGGCAGTGAAGGTCACAACAGAGGTCAGGACTTTGGTTCTGTCCTTATTCTCCTGCAGTGTCTCCACAATGTCCCCCAGGCCTTTGGTCCATGTCGCAGTTGGAGGATGAGACAGACATGAAGCTGGAGCAGAGCACCTCAAACTCACTGAGGCTCCCTCCTCCACCTTCAGAGCTGACGGAGTCAGAGTCGGTCTGGGAGGAACATCTGGTGAGAAGGTCCATTTGAACATCACTAAAGCGTCATTTCTACATTTTGTTCACTATTTGCCAAATTAAATGAATGAAAAACAGGTTAATGGAATCTGTGTAAGATAAATGAATGAGTGAAATGTAAACAAACCGACTTTATTACCTTTGACTGAAAGAATAACTCTTTGTGCAGCAAAATCATATTTTAGAGCGTTGTCACATTCCAGCCTGAAGAAATAACTATAGTTGCCAGCAGGTTGAATGTTGTTCAGGGTTGTGGTGCAGTTTTTTTTTGTCAAGTCTCCTGTCAGTTCTCCATTTGTTTGTGGATCTTTGCTGTTAAACACAACTTTTTCCCAGCATATGTTACACATACTGTGGTGTGAATTCTTCACTAACATTGTGTACATTGTGTATTTTTAATACTCAATGATCCAGATGTGAATGCAGTGCAGCTCACCTTGCAGCAGAGAACCAATGAGAAGGAGAGTCAGACCTGCAGCCATCTTTGTGAGTCAGGAGAGGCAGAAACTCTGGAGATTACGCATGAAACAAGCCACATGTTTAGAGCATTTAGAGGTTATTAAAGGTGTTTAAAGTAGGGTTCATTCATGAGGCTCTAATGAATAATGAACAGTTGCAGAGATTCTGTTGGAGAAATGTTTTGCCGAGTCTATATTTTATCATGATATTATTAATATGAAGGCTCAGAAGAAGTGATTCTTGGCTTCTGAACCATTGAAACTCCGCTGAATCCCCCCAAAATTTGATTATTTTAAGTGTGTCAAAATCTCACACAATTTATTAATTAAATTAAACATTAATATTTCAATTATTTCATACATCGATATTTTTGTATATACTTTTATGAAACTTGGTGATGAAGCGATTTAGTAGTTATATTTATTGTGTGATAAAAACAAATAAATTGTTTGTCATGCTTCGTAATATTCACTCTGTCACTGAAACCCGCTGTAAAGGACCTATGAGATGGTGGATCGTTTTATTATATACTTTTGGTGTTTTATTTTGGGTATTTTGTGACTGCAGTTAGCGTATCTCCGGTTGCGCCTTTATTTTGACGGCTGGAAAACCGGAAGTAAGTGGATAGAAGCGAGAGCAGAACAAAAAATATGTTAAAAAGACAGAAAAGGGCGGGAAACAAGAATCAGTGTTCATATTTATTTTCCTCTAGTTCTAATGGTGCGTTCACACCAAAAGCGAAGCAAATTATTCGCACGAGTAGATCCCATGAAAAGTCAATGCACAGACGCGTCTGGTTGCGAATGAGGCAAATTTTAAACGGGCGGCACGAATGACGCGCAAGACGCGGCGCGTAGGACGCGAAAAGGCTAAACTAGCCAAGCGAATAAATCGTTCTTTCTCATTACCGCCGTCCTGCTGCCACACTTTATTAAACTGTTAGAGACACACAGAGACTGAACGCCTGTAAGTTAGTTTGTGTGTAACCGAGAGACGCACCGATCCGACACAACAGGTCATCAGACCGGCTGCTGGTCCGACTGAAGCCGCGGTCATCCAGACGCACTTGCTGGAGGAGTCGGTGAAATTCAAGCGGTGTTCCTAGGGAGGTGTTCCAGGCACGGCCAGCTGGGAAGAGGCCCCGGGGAAGATCCAGGACTAGGTGGAGAGATTATATCTCTGCACTGGCCTGGGAACGCCTTGGGATCCCCCAGTCAGAGCTGGTAGATGTGGCCCGGGAAAGGGAAGTTTGGGGTCCCCTGCTGGAGCTGTTGCCCCCGCGACCCGACCCCGGATAAGCGGTTGAAAATGGATGGATGGATGGATGGATTTCAAATTCAACCTTTCTTTTCCTTGAAAAAAAATCTTTTTTTTTATCCGACCTATTATGTAAAAAAAACATTTGGAAGAGGTGACTCTTCCCTTTGTCACAAACTGGGTTTGCACATTTCATAAAAGGTGAAAACACAAATCATCATTACAATAATTAGGGAACTGTTTTCCAACAAAATGCTATCTGGGCTTTACATGAATGTGTCCAAAATGTCGAAAAATGTTATAAAACATATTGACTTTTGTCTAAATTAAACCCAACGGGTTCTACCTTAATGGGCTCTTAAGGACAAACTTTTATCAGACCACAAATCATATGACTACTGGTGTGTGTGTCTTACCAGATTAAGCCACACCCCTTGCAAAGTTCCTAGTTCCATATCCTCTAAAAACAATGAGATATAAACAAGCTTTATATGATTTCTGATCGCACTGAACTAATTATCAACGGAAAGATCTGGAAATATCAGAATCAGCGTTTAGGAGGAGCTGGCAAAAGTGTTTTTTTGTAAAAAAAAAGTTTTTTACAAAATTCAAAAATGTTGGAAAATCTAAGTAGCCGCATTGAAATGCCATGATTGACTTTCTTTGTAGAACATGACCAAGAGCACATGTTTGGAAAATGTCAAGTCATATGGGCATCAAGGGCAAAAACTGGGTTAATGTGGTATTTTGCAGAGACATTTCTTTATACCCAATTGCGGGACCCCAATACGCATATCAAATTAAAAAACATCAAAATGATAAAGAAATTGAAGTAATTGAAGTAGAAAAATCTGAACGGCCTACTTCAGTACAGTTTTGAGCATTTTCAGTTTCCTTGTGTTACATATTCCTACCAAGTTTCACACCTGTAGGTCAAACGTAGCTCTGGTGCTGCTTGAATGAATATCTGTAGAGGGCGCTTATGAGCCATTTATAAGTTACATGTTGAGCATGTTTAGTACCTCAAAAGAACAAAAAACATTGTTGTTTACTGGATACTAGAACATTTCAACACTTGTTGTACAGGTTCAGAGGCCAGAAACAAGGGAAAGCTTTGAGAGATGTGTTTAAATACAAAGTTAAAGATTGATGGAAGCGTTCAGCTTGGAATTATACGTACATGACACGGTTCTATAGACTGTCACTTATGTAAAGAACAAAAATACATATTTACAATTGCACTCGCTTTGTGCTCAAATAGCTACAGCCAATTCAGTTTGAAAAACAAAATAACTGTAAGCAAGAAAACAATAAACTAAACATGTCACACTACTAAATAGATGTGAAATGGCAACATTATATGAGTAAATACAGCATCTCATTGTATTGAGCATTAGCGCAGTAGAAAATGTGAAAACTGCTCATCATTGATGTTATTACCATTGTTATTATGCACTTTAACTTGATGAAAATATCTTAGCAGACCAATAAACTCAAAAACAAAGGAACATAATACCTTTAATCTGAATGTCCATAGCTGACAAACAAGAAAACACCCATTTAACAGAGGAAGGAAATACTTTGAAAACACAGCATTTAGATCTGTGGTCTACTTATGCATCCCTCTCTTGTCTTTGAATTTAACCTGAGCATATTCACTTCCCACCTCTTTCTTTACATTCCTGGGCCCCACGTTGCCATAGAGACCTTTCATCTCCAGTGCGCTGCTCACAAAGCCTCTGAGCGTTCCTCCCGCTGCGCACATCTCCTCCTCCAGATACGAGCCACCCGGCTGGGGACTCTCCTCCGAGGCCTCGGCCCTCTTCTTCTGGCTCCTGGTCCTCCAGTTCACAGTCGAGTAAACCACATCTTTGCCCTCCTCACTGGTCTTCTCTGAGCCTCTGCTGGCTCCTTCTGCGTTGTTTGGTAACTATACAATTACAGAGAAAACATCAGTGCCAAATGTGCTCTGCTGATCCGGTCCAACTGAAGTAGAACAGCGTCCTGGGAGGGTACCTCCTGTCCCTCTCCACCTAGAAGAGGGCCTGCAGCCACCGTGCTGGTGTCCCCGGTGCACTGACTCCTCAGGCGGTCATGGTGGATCTTCTGAGCCCTGGAAAGTACAGTCCAACGTCTGTCTCACAATCACATGTGTGTATGTGAGTCGTCTGTTTTGTTTATTACAGAGGAAGCTGCAATAAAATAGTCTCACAGGAGAGGATGTAAACTTTAGTGTTGACTGTTATATGTTACATGTTGATGTCACCTTACCTGATCACAAACAGCAGAGCACATACTAGTACAAGTAGAGCGACGACCACACTGATGAAAACTGTCAACATCACTCGGTCTGAAACGTGAGGACAATGAAAGATCATAGTTTGTTCTGGTGAAACCTCAGAGATGCCGTCAAAAAATTCAGCTTAAACAGACTCTAAAGTAAACAGCTTTTACCATTTTACCATTAAATATTTGTAGATATTATCTAGAATCATTTGCGTAATTTTAAAAATTAGACAAAGACCGTAGGGCGTATTTTAACATCTCAACAGTCACATCAGATGTTTCCAGACACCCCCGCCCAACCTCACTAATGTCAAATGAGTGAAAGTTGTGAAATAACATTGAGTTAAAAAAAAAAAAAAAAATTCTAATAAGTCTCTGTCACAGTCTTTGTTTGTCCTGTGTTTTATTTTATTTTGTAGTTTCCTGTATCTTGTGTCTCTGCGTTAACTTCACTTCCTGCCCTGGTGTTTCACCTGCACCTTCCCAGTGTGTTTAAACCGTGTGTGTCTCTTGTTGTGTTGAGAGTCTTGTACCCGTATCTCTGCATGAAGTGTACTTTTGTTACTAAGAACTGCGTTGTTACCCAATAAGTCACATTGGGGTGTTTAAGGAAGTCTACATGGGCCACTGATGGTAAAGTTAAGCCAAAAAAGAGAAGTATCACCAGCATTAATGTTTTTCTATAACGCTCTGGGCCTCACCTCCTAACTGAAGCATTGAAGTGTTCCATCTAACAGCCTGTATAGTATTTCTGTAAATAAAAACAAATCCAACGACCACCTAATACACTTCTCTCAAGTTGTCAGTGCACATGATACAGACCTGGACTCTGAGCAGACTTCTGAGGCTCTGAGCTGCCGACACAAAACCGCTGAGTAGCAGATCCCCGAGAGTTCACGCTGCGGCAGAGTAGTGTATGTCAATCAATTTACTGAACTAAAGCTTTATATCAAGTAAAAGACAGCCTGGTCTCCAAAACATGTTCGTAAAAATGTATACGAAAATCTTGAACATACAAATTCGTAACAATACATACTAACTGGCGGTGGTTAACCACACCCCTTGAGTGAAAAACATGGCGGACCATGTTGTATTCTTGAGTGAACGTCTCTCCGCCATGTTGGATTTTTTGAGGGGGTTAGGGTTAGTATTCTATTCTTACAATTTAACATTGATTTCTCGTTAAAAATGCAAACATAACACGTTTATTTTACATCGTTAGACTTCACAAAGTGTGTTTACGGGGGGCAGGTCCCCATTCACTTTGAATAGGGTGACGTCACTGTGGTGGAAATTTGTGGATTTCGCCCATGTGAGAAATCAAAAGTATTTTGAGCTTGCTTTGTGATTAAGTATTTATTACTAACTAGAATATAGGAAAAAGATAAAGAATACAGAAATCATCAGCACAAGTCGTAAGCACAGACAGAAGTCAAATGACTACAATTCAGCTGAAAAGGGACAGATGTTCCTTCCCCCAAAAGGAGCAGGAAGATCTGACAAAGTTGAAGAGGAGAACAGGAGCTTATATACACTTCAGAGAGGTTTGTGCTGCCTCAGGACAGGACAGCCCACCCCTCAAAGAGGAGTGTTGGAAAAGTACCAGATGATGTAGGGGTGACCCCGTGACCCTCCCTTTATGGACCCAGACAATCAACAACATAAAAGGTCAGCCAGGGCACGTATGGTTTCATCTGTGTCTTATCTCACCCTGGACTGCCTTAAGTCACCGGCTCACATCAAAGGTCACATTCCTGAGAGCCTCACCCCACGCAGGCTCAACAATTTTCCCCCAACAGTCATCAGTTGCAGTCCATATTTATTTAGTATGTATCACTCCGAATTTGTATGTTCAAGATTTTCGTATACATTTTTACGAACAGGTTTTGGAGATCACGTTGGTAAAAGAAGTGTGATCCTCACATTGAACGTCTATGTGTGTGTTGTTGGATCGTCCAACTCCAACATCATTGTGAGCCGTGCAGAGAAAAGGACTGTCTTCTTTAGAGGCTTTAATGATGAGAACACGTCCCGTCCCAATAAAAGTCTCCTGTTCTCCATCCGCTCTGTACCAGGTGTAGTTCTTCACTGCTGGGTTAGCAGTACTACTGCATGTCAGAGTTACACTACTGTCCTCTAGTACTGGACCAGAGGGACGGACTGACACTGTGGTGACTTTGGGGGAATCTGAGGAATGAAATCATTTGTATATTTTCTAGATGTAATATAATGTGATATTGCGTTAAAACAACAGATTATTGATTGTGGATAACATTTAAACCGAGGGTTCTGTTTCTGTTTCGTAAAAGGACAATTTTGACCTTTAACCTGGAACTACAATAAGAATTGTTTGTGATATCGTTTATCTTTCATTTACTTTCATAAACAAGCCATTAATGGTTGAAACAGTGAAAAGAAGAGACTATAGCAGCAAATCCTTAAGTGTAATACAAGAGCATCTTTTACCATTAATCTCATTTAATCATTAATACCTTCTAAAAATAGTTCACAACTATTATTCTTTCATATGACTAATGGATTAATTTGAATTTGAATTCAAAGTGAAGAAAGTTAAGCAATAACATAATTTCAATTAAAATATCTATGGAAACAATTAATGATGATGAATGAACTCACATGAAACATCAGCTGTTAAAGTAGCAGCTGACTCAGCGCTTCCATCCTGTTTGTGGTAGGAGGCCTCACAGGAGATTGTCTCTCCATGATGCTTGTGAGAGGCAGTGAAGGTCACAACAGAGGTCAGGACTTTGGTTCTGTCCTCATTCTCCTGCAGTGTCTCCACAATGTCCCCCAGGCCTTTGGTCCATGTCACAGTTGGAGGATGAGACAGACATGGAGCTGGAGTAGAGCAACTCAAACTCACTGAGGCTCCCTCCTCCACCTTCAGAGCTGACGGAGTCAGAGTCGGTCTGGGAGGAACATCTGGTGAGAAGGTCCATTTGAACGTCACTAAAGCGTCACTTCTACATTTTGTTTACTATTTGCTAAATTAAATAAATGCAAAACAAGTTTTATGAGTCTGTGTAATATAAATAAATGATTGAAATGTAAACAAACAGACTTTAATACCTTTGACTGAAAGAATAACTCTTTGTGCAGCAAATTCATATTTTAGACCGTTGTCACATTCCAACCTGAAGAAATAACTATTGCTGCCAGCAGGTTGAATGTTGTTCAGGGTTGTGGTGCAGTTTTTTTTTGTCAAGTCTCCTGTCAGTTCTCCATTATTTAAAAGTGTTTGTGGATCTTTGCTGTTAAACGCAACTTTTTCCCAACCAAGTTTCCATATTGCTCTACATGTGTCATCTAGGTTTGATTCATATTGATCTTCTATCTCAAAGGAGCAGGGGATGGTCACACAGGATCCTGTAAGAACCTCTATAGTCTGCGGCACAAATGCCTTAAACTCTCTACTCTGAGCACCTGAAACACAAGAAACAAATCATGAATAAGAACAGTTGAATAAAACTCATGATTAATATTTACTGCTTGGTTACCTCACTAAAATCTTAACAAAATATCTCATTCTTATAACAATCAAAAATAACGACTCTAAGGATTCTGTGTTCATTTCTAAAGATTTATTCAAAGAATATTTATCAAAAAGCAGCAGAACACTTTAGCAGCTCACTGCGTCCTTCTATTGCTGCAGCATATATTACACATACTGTTGGACTGTGGTGTGAATTCTTCACTAACATTGTGTACTTGATGCTTTTTGATAATTTTTTAATACTCAATGATCCAGATGTGAATGCAGTGCAGCTCACCTTGCAGCAGAGAACCAATGAGAAGGAGAGTCAGAGCTGCAGCCATCTTTGTGAGTCAGGAGAGGCAGAAACTCGAGAAACTCTGGAGATTACACATGAAACAAGCCGCATGTTCAGAGCATTAAAGGTTAATAAAGGAATGGCTGACTTCCGGTGAGCGCTCCAACATGGTGACGTAGTTGTAAAAACCCTCCTGGTCAAATTAAGGAAAGAAGACCCAAAGGATGCAGGAAATATCTGTTCATGAAAACTAAAATGATGTAAAAAGCAGGAAAACGGCAGCGACGAAAAACAAGAATAACGACGGATTGGACAAAAAACAACGGTGACCAAACAGCTGCGGTGGAGGTGATTGAAATTGAACCTCGTGCATGCGGAGGAATGTGTTCTGTCTCCGGCTGAAGTCATACAAAAAAGACACACAACCTGAAGATCGAGCTTAAGCAGGAATTAAAGGACTTCAAAATGACTTAAATGCGGGATTAAAGAAGCCACCGAGGGAAGCTCAATGTTATTATTCATGGACTGCTCCCCGAAGTCACAGCTGACGCTCGATACGAACACGGATCCACAGATCCAGCTCATCGATCACCTGGCCCGAAACCTCAAGATCAATCCCGATCAAATACTCACAGAAACCCTGCACCAGAAAGATCCCACACGGAGGGAAAAGCTGCGGGAAAAGCTGCGGCTTTTTCGCGCAAGATCGCCCCACTGAAGTCAACAGCAAACCCACGGAGTGCAAAGACATGAAGAAAGTCCTTGAAGAGAATCAAAGACGGCGAGAGGCGCTCAGAGAACTCCGACAAGTACGCCGATATAACGTTTAAACACCTAAACACCGCCACCCGACACCTCCCCTCCTGACTTCCTCAAAAGGGAAAAGAGACCGTGTTCTTCAGCAGAGAGGGAGCTCCTACATTAAGTAGGACAGTTCTCCATCAGGGCAGGGTGAGACCCTGGGGTTGGAGGTCAATTTTAATTTTAGATTGGTTTGTTAATTGGTTTGTTAGTCTTTATTGTCACAAGAGACTAAATACACCTGCAAATACAGCGCAGCACGATGCAAAAGCAGCCAAACCATCAAAAACTGCAACAACAAAAAAGAACACAGACTGAAAAGTGACATCAAAGTAAACTGAATACCTCTTTGATCCAGTTTCAGTAGTAATTTAACAATATAGTCCCACGGAGGAGGTGTGTTTAATTATAGTTATTGAAATGACATTCTATAGTTTACAGAATGCTGATTTAATAACACTTATATCATTAATCACACGTTTGTAGGATAAGAACGACTTTTATTATTCTTGGTCATGGAGATATTCAACGAAACACAGATGAGGAGCTGCTGGCCCTCTGGCTCCGGTCACCACCTCTCAGGCCGCCTGGAGGGGCCCTTCCAGCACAGACTGGGTGGTCCGTCTGATCCACTGAGCATAGATGTTCCCCGTCCAGTCCAGCTGGTCCTGAAGTCCACCAGGAAGTCTCCAGTAGAGACCTGGCTAAATGTGCACCAGTTCCCCGCCCCTTCTTTTTACCACATATGTCACGGTGTGGTTCACTTCCTGTCTTATTTTGTAGTTTTCTGCCACTCGTATCCCCGGGTAACTTCACTTCCTGCCTTGTCCCGTCATCCCCTGTGATCGTCTAATCGTTTCCACCTGTGTCCAATGACCTGCACCTCCGTAGTGTATTTAAGCCATGTGTCTCTTGTGTCACTTGTCGCGTCATTGTCTATCGTCGTGGATGTTCGTAGTTCCTGCCTGCTGTTTTTCCCCTGTTTCCTGTGTGTTTTTGCCCCTTGGCCTTTTGCCGTTGTGAGTATTAAAGTCTTCTTTTGTTACTCAACTCTGCATTTGAGTCCTGCCTTCTCCCCACACCCCTGACAACATAATGCGAGGTCATCGACCCAACAAAGCAGATGGAGGAAGAAATAACCATGAAGTAACACTCGGTGGAAGCATGGACTCACACGTGCGAGCAGTCTCATTAACTTCATGTGTGATAAGAACCAATGGATATGATCAGACATTGGCTACCTGGTATTAGACTACGTAAATGATATAACTTGGACAAAATTATATCTAAAATGTATTAATTACATATCAAAGTTTGACATCACTCCCACTAAGAGTTATACATTTGTCAATCTTTTTTTTTTTTTTTATCAATTCATTCAGTCTTTTGTGTCATCATTGTTTAACCCACACACCACTGCTGTACAACACATTTCAAATTCAACCTTTCTTTTCCTTGAAAGAAAATATCTTTTTTTTTTTTTTTTTATCCGACCTATTATGTAAAAAAAAATTTGGAAGAGGTGACTCTTCCCTTTATATCCCTTAGAGCACATGTTTGGAAAATTTCAAGTCAAATGGGCATCAAGGGCAAAAACTGGGTTAATGTGGTATTTTGCAGAGACATTTCTTTATACCCAATTGCGGGACCCCAATACGCATATCAAATTAAAAAACATCAAAATGATAAAGAAATTGAAGTTGACATCACAGAAAAATCCGAACGGCCTACTTCCGGTACAGTTTTGAGCATTTTCAGTTTCCTTGTGTTGCATATTCCTACCAAGTTTCACACCTGTAGGTCAAACGTAGCTCTGGTGCTGCTTGAATGAATATCTGTAGAGGGCGCTAATGAGCCATTTATAAGTTACAAGTTGAGCATGATTAGTACCTCAAAAGAACAAAAAACATTGTTGTTTACTGGATACTAGAACATTTCAACACTTGTTGTACAGGTTCAGAGGCCAGAAACAAGGGAAAGCTTTGAGAGATGTGTTTAAATACAAAGTTAAAGATTGATGGAAGCGTTCAGCTTGGAATTATACGTACATGACACGGTTCTATAGACTGTCACTTATGTAAAGAACAAAAATACATATTTACAATTGCACTCGCTTTGTGCTCAAATAGCTACAGCCAATTCAGTTTGAACAACAAAATAATTGTAAGCAAGAAAAGAATAAACCAAACATGTCACACTACTAAATAGATGTGGAATGGCAACATTATATGAGTAAATACAGCATCTCATTGTATTGAGCATTAGCGCAGAAGAAAATGTGAAAACTGCTCATCATTGATGTTATTATCATTGTTAATATGCACTTTAACTTGATGAAAATATCTTAGCAGGTCAATAAACTCAAAAACAAAGTAACATAATGCCTTTAATCTGAATGTCCATAGCTGACAAACAAGAAAACACCCATTTAACAGAGGAAGGAAATACTTTGAAAACTTCACACAGCATTTAGATCTGTGGTCTACTTATGCATCCCTCTCTTGTCTTTGAATTTAACCTGAGCATATTCACTTCCCACCTCTTTCTTTACATTCCTGGGCCCCACGTTGCCATAGAGACCTTCCATCTCCAGTGCGCTGCTCACAAAGCCTCTGAGCGTTCCTCCCGCCGTGCACATCTCCTCCTCCAGGAACGAGCCACCCGGCTGGGGACTCTCCTCCGAGGCCTCGGCCCTCTTCTTCTGGCTCCTGGTCCTCTGGTTCACAGTCGAGTAAACCACATCTTTGCCCTCCTCACTGGTCTTCTCTGATCCTCCGCTGGCTCCTTCTGCGTTGTTTGGTAACTATACAATTACAGAGAAAACATCAGTGCCAAACGTGCTCTGCTGATCCGGTCCAACTGAAGTAGAACAGCGTCCTGGGAGGGTACCTCCTGCCCCTCTCCACCTAGAAGAGGGCCTGCAGCCACCGTGCTGGTGTCCCCGGTGCACTGACTCCTCAGGCGGTCATGGTGGGTCTTCTGAGCCCTGGAAAGTACAGTCCAACGTTTGTCTCACAATCACATGTGTGTATGTGAGTCGTCTCTGTTTTGTTTATTACAGAGGAAGCTGCAATAAAATAGTCTCACAGGAGATGATGTAAACTTTAGTGTTGACTGTTATGTGTTACATGTTGATGTCACCTTACCTGATCACAAACAGCAGAGCACATACTAGTACAAGTAGAGCGACGACCACACTGATGAAAACTGTCAACATCACTCGGTCTGAAACGTGAGGACAATGAAAGATCATCGTTTGTTCAGGTGAAACCTCAGAGAGGCTGTCAAAAAATTCAGCTTAAACAGACTCTAAAGCAGCGATTCCCTGGTGGGCCGTGAAGGTACTGCAGGTGGGCCGCGAGAGGTCATTTACAATAAATAAATAAAGTTCTATAATTTTCAATTTTTAAAAGTTTGAAATTAATATAAAAATATTTATGATGCAGCACATTAGTTATGTGAAACATTAGTTGATGAAGCACAAACATTTTAAATGGACAGATTAATAAAACAATAAGGCTCTCGCTCGAAAACGGCTGCTCTTGTCCGCCTGTCGTTGTTAACAAACGGGGCGCCCTCTTGTAGTATTAAAGTAAATATACCGCATTTTCCGCACTCCAAGGCACACTTACAAGGCTTTAATTTCCTCAAAAAACGACAGTGCCTTATAATCCGGAGCGCCTTATATATATGGATTAATTGGTTAATCGGTTGCTCCATACTGGTTGTACACGGCGCTCAAGGCGCTCTGCCAAACATGCCAAAGCTCGGTCTACGATGGCGAGATGCTCGTGTGTGTCTCTTGTTGTGTTGAGAGTCTGGTACCCGTGTCTCTGCATGAAGTGTACTTTTGTTACTAAGAACTGTGTTCTTCCCCAATAAGTCACATTGGGGTGTTTAAGGAAGTCTACATGGGCCACTGATGGTAAAGTTAAGCCAAAAAAGAGAAGTATCACCAGCATTAATGTTTTTCTGTAACGCTCTGGGCCTCACCTCCTAACTGAAGCACTGAAGTGTTCCATCTAACAGCCTGTATAGTATTTCTGTAAATAAAAACAAATCCAACGACCACCTAATACACTTCTCTCAAGTTGTCAGTGCACATGATACAGACCTGGACT